ATATATAATTCAAAGCATTCACATTTATATGTACACAAAAAGTTTGGGGTCTGTTTGATTTTTAAATGTTTTAAAATAAGCTTATCCTGCTCACCAAGTTAATCAAAAATACAGTACAAATTGTGAAATGTTATTGCACTATAAATCAAATGTTCAAATGTAGTTTATAATTTAATTTAATAATTTATTCCAGTAATTTTAAAGATGAATTTTCAGCTTCATTACTCCAGTCTTTAGTCACAGGATCCTTCAGAAATCACTCTAATATTAGTTATTGTTGTTGTTATTATTACTATTATTATTAATATTATTATTATTATTATTATTAGTAGTAGTAGTAGTAGTAGTAGTAGTAGTAATGGTAATAACTGGAGTAATAATTTCATTTGAAACTACAAACAATAAGAAAGCAGTTACTTAAAATTTTTATAAATCTTTACCAATTTTATATATTTTTTACATTTAATAAATGCCGCTTTGATGAACATTATTATTTAAAAAAAAAATTGTAAAAAACATTGAACAAAATAATAAAACTGACCCCAAACTTTTAACCGGTAGTGTGTATCAATTGTTATTTGTCGGTTGGAGATATGTGTATAATATACAAATATAAAAAATGTCAAAGAGAATAAAATAAAATGAATATATGAATTAGTGGGTATTTTACAGTTTTAAAAAAATATTTCTAAAATTATTTTTTCTACTAAATAAATGTTGTGTTTGTATAATTAAATTGACAGTGTTTAGACATTTAGTTAAAGTAATTAAGATATGTGTTAAGGGTAGGTCAATTTCGCAAAAAATGGTTAATTTCTTAAATTTTTATGAAACTGTTGCCTAAAAAAAATAAAACCAATTAAAACACTTATTTGTTTCTTGAACTAAATAAATACAAGAAAATGTACTTTGTTGTTTATCAAAGAAAATATTCTTTTTTTATTGTTGCACTTAAAAATCACATAAATAAAAATCATGCATTGAAATGACTAACTGTAATTACAGCGAAAAGAGAAACCATAAAAATGGAAATAAAATAATACAAAAATGAAAACCCTTTACAAAAAAGTAAACATTAAGTTAATTAAGTTCCATAAATTAAGATACTAATAATACTGTATAGACTTCATTCATTTTTTCTTTAAGTTACAAACATAATAAATAATTGTGCCTGAATGCCTGCCTAATACTGGCATTGAATACTTAGCAACAGACTTTGTATGAATATATACAGTTGATAAGTTTTGAAGTTACTGCACAGTGTACTAATAAATCACATGCTTTTTCAACTGTGGTTTTGTGGCATTTAATAGACTATAATCCTGTCTCCACATCTGCGATGTGATTGCAAAGGCTTACATTGCGAAATCGATGCTGAAACAATATATTGTGGAACCCTAGTTCACGTTACCTCAGGTCGTCATATGAACCGATACACATCTTAAAATATTTATTAGAAGATGCTGAAATATTATTAACCAATATTAATATAAATAATATTGGTTATATATATAATAGTTATAAAATATATAATCTAAAATTGTTTTTTAGCAATATTAAAATAAAACATACCAAAATTAGCAAGTATTAGACTGCCAAATATAAACATACACATGTGCATCTGTTGTTGTCTGTGTGCTTGAGCTGGTCGTGTCTCACCACCCACCCGTCTGCCTCTCTGACCTTCACAATAGTTCATCAAAATTAGTGGCGCTGAGAAAAAAGGACACGAGTGCATAATGACTGTGAAATGAAGAAATCAAGGGCTGCAGCCTATGCAAATGGTGCGCTAAGCCATGTGAAAAATGGGCTGCATATTAAGACGTAACCGTGCATGCTTATGTGTTCAACTTTATCCAGACGGTGATGAGTTTATAACAAATCCACCACGTCTTTATAGCTTAAAAATGTTTTTGTTTGTGTGCTTTTATATTTTTGAGGATTTTTAGAAGGCGGAGACTATGCGGAGATTGACTCCGCCTGTTTCTGAGGGAACAGACTCATTTGCATTTATCGAGACTTGACAAACTCAATCGAAGGTGTTTTTTTTATATTTGAGGTCTTTAAGTAGGTGGAGACATTGAGTAAATTAACCCCGCCCCTTTCAGTGACCACATTCATAATGATGTGACAAATTTATTTAAGGTTAATTTATATTGGGAGGAGTTTAAGTAGGCGGAGACTCTGTGAATTAACCCCACTCCTTTTCAGAGGCAACAGAATCAATTGCATTCATGAAGACATGAAAATTTCACCCTGTCATTGTGACACTGAAGGTGTTTTTATGTGTGTGTTTTTATATTTACCATAAGCTTAAATAGGCTGAGACATTATGTAAATTAACCCCGCCCCTTTCTGAGTCAAGAAACTCAATTGCATTCAACAAAATGCAACACATTTGCCCCATCTGTGAGGCAATAAAGGGGTTTTGAATTTAAACTTGGAAGAAGCTAAGTAGGCGGAGATTATTTGACTATAACCCTGCCCCTTTCCATAAGCAAAAGACTCAACTGCATCCATGAATACATGACAAGTAACCTTGTCCTCATGGCATCGAAGGTGTTTGTTTAGTGTTTTTATATTTGGCGTTGATTGAAATAGGCGGAGATTGTTTGTAAATTATCCCGGCCTGTTTCAGACTCGATCGCATTCATCAGGACATGACAAACTCAGCCGGGCTCTGAATCACAGATGCAATTGGGGTAACCTTGGTGAGACTGTCGCCCTGATGTCTGGCAAATCAGGAGCAGATGTGAGACATACATCCGCGATCTCGCACACGCTCACTAAAACACGCTGGGGATATGTTAACAGTCGCCAGTGCCCGCCGCTATCAAGTTCAGCACAGACGTGGTTTGTCAGCCAATGTCACAGAGGAGATTTTAATGGCGCGGCGGATCGTAGAGAAAGGCTGACACTGTACTGTATTCACACAGGCTCTAATTAAAGACCCCTGTCAGCGGCGCGAGGACCCTCTCAATGTCAGCACACGTCATTTCCCTTTTTATTCAGCTTGTTTGTGTGCCCTTTTAATATTTCTGTACTCTCAAATTGTTTTTGATGAAAACACAGTCGACGACGCGATATTCAGCAATTTTAGGTTTGTGTACACAACGAAACGGTACACCCTGAGCGCTCTGACCCATTTTAGTGAAGTGTTGAGAGGGACAAGATGCTTCACGATGATGAAGAGGAGAGAAAACAATCACAGGGGAAAATGAAAATGCAAAACGTATTCACGCAGTCACAAGCAAAACACGGACAGCTCTCCACAATAATGGCCAGTGGCCTTGTCAGTGGAGTGGGACGCTTGATGATGTGCTTGTTTGAGTGTGTGTGTTTTTCTGTCAGTCTGACCCATCACTCAGTGCAGCTTTTGCTTCTTGTATTGCTGCTTCAGAAAGCTCCTCTTAGGTGGGTTTTGGAGAAACAGAGTGTGATCTCCAAGACTTTCTGACACCTTAGTACACGTACATTAAACTTATAACAATGAATACTTTTTAAGCATTTTTCTTTATACGTTTTGGGATGCTTGACCCCATAACTGGTCATTTTAATAAATAAACAAAAATACTTATCATGAAATAGAATCTACTGCTACTATAATCTGTCAGGCTTTTGAATATTAATCATGTTGACTACATGTGCACAATACTGCGCAGTACATTTAAAAATGGTCATTTAAAAATTAAATAATGGACAAATACTTGATTCAGATACTTTTGGTAAGTAGCAGAAGAGCTATAACTCCTAAATGGTTTACTGTTGATCCTCCAACAAGGCCTCAATGGATAGGAATTGTAAAAGAAATAAACCGTACGGAAAGTCTGACTTTTAATCTAAGACTTGATTCCAAAAAGTGCAAAAGTATTGGCAAAAATGGACTGAGTATGTCATTGTAATCAACACACGATAATGTACTGTATTATAACTTGATTTTGTGACTTACATGACAACCGCTTTGTTCTTTGTTTTTATTAAGTTAAATTACTAAATAAAATGAAGTTAAATAAATAAATAATGCTCATCATAAAATAGAATTGCTACTATAATCTGTCACCCTTTTGAATATTAATCATGTTGCCTGCCTCTCTGCAATGCTGCACAGTAAAATAAATGATACGTTTATAATATGATTCCATGAATGTTAAAAATTTACTAACATAAACATTCAATTAATAGTACAATTATTGCATTATTTATTCATCTTTGTTAACAATAAATAATGAAACTAAAGTTGTTCATAGATTGTTAACTCACAGTGCATTAACTAATGTTAAAAAGTATAACTTTGTACAGTACATTTTAATTTTTGGTTATAGAAATAAAGATTTATGAGACATAACTGGTTATTTTTCCTAATAAATATATAATAGCATATATAAACAAACAAATAAATAATTAAATAAATAAACAAATAAATAAATAATTAGCAATAATACTTATGAATGATAAAATTTCATTGCTACTGTAATATGTCAGGCTTTTGAATATTAATCCTGCTGTCCGCATTGGCTCGCTGAAATCAAAATGCAGATGGTAATATGTGAGAGCTGGCCTTTCAATTGCAACTATTCCCACGCAACAGCAAAGAAGCCAGCTACAAAGCATATGATTAACATGTAGCACACAAATTCTCTGTGGCTTTGCATTACTCTCAAATAGTCTCCTTGCGTGTTTGAGTCAGATATTCTGCACATTTATTGATTAATAGTGCGCTCGCTGTACTGTCAAGACTCACTCAGTCAGTCTGTTTAAGAGTATACAAGTGAAAATAGATCTCAATCACTGGCCAATTAGATCTAACAGTTTATCAGCTCATGCCTTCCATCGCATAATGCATAACATTTGGTGACAAATATGAGTGATTTGAGGGTTGGTCTCATAGGACGTTCATGTGGAGACAGGCTACTGATACTGTAGGATGTGTGGCATGTTATCTTTAGCATACGGGAGTATTATAGTATTCACACGGACTTCCTCTTTCTGTGTTTGTGTAGGTGCCAGTTTCTGTTGCTATGATGACACCACAGGTCATAACTCCTCAGCAGATGCAGCAAATCCTCCAACACCAAGTCCTGAGCCCTCAGCAGCTCCAGCTGTTACTGCAGCAACAACAAGCACTGATGTTACAGCAGGTATACTCGCTCTCGTTCTGCTTTACACTACATACTGAATGTATCACGACGACTAGACTATTGCCCATCGCCAGAGAGTTACATCATTAGAATTTAACAGGTTCAGAGTAATACTGCTATCATATCATGCACACACACAAACACAAATAAGTAAATGGTAACCCTTTACAATAATTTTGTATTTACTAATAGGAATAAACAACGAACAATACATTTATTACACAATTTATCCATCTTTGCTAGGTATTTAAAATTGTTGTTCATTATTGGTGTTAACTCAAAGTGCATTAACTAATGTTCGCAAGCATAACTTTGGGTTTTATTCAAGCAGTAAATGTTAACCTATGATTAATAAGTCTAATTTTAAGTCTAGATTAATAATAATAATAAGTCAAGATTAAGAAGTAGTGTTCATTCATGATAGTTTCTGTTAGAAAATACATTAATTAATGTAACCTTATTGTAAAATGTGACCAGGAAAATGTATTTCCTCAAAAATTCAGTTGTATATTAAAAATGTCCAATTTAGAATGTATTTATTAAGTTGCATGTTTATGTTTTTAGTTTGATTTTTTTTTTTTTTTTAGAAAATTGTGTTGACTTTTTGATTTAGGTTTTAACTTGTAGCAACATGGTGGCTTTCAACCATATTTTAGTCATTTCACAACATCAAGTATGGTTCAACCAATCAGACTGTAGAGCCAAAAAAACTATCATAAAACTATAACAACAACTATTATTTAATATAATGCCATAAACACTCACCAGCCACTTTATTAGGTATACCTTACTAGTACCGGGTTGGACCCCCTTTTGCTTTCAGAACTTAATTCTTCGTAGCACATGTCCACCACCTGGTACTGGAAATATTCCTCATAGATTTTGGTCTATATTGACATGATAGCAACACGCAGTTGCTGCAGATTTGTCAGAGGCACATCCATGATGTGAATCTCCCGTTCCACCACATCTCAAATGTGCTCTATTGGATTGATGTCTGATGACTGTGGAGGCCATTTGAGTACAGTAAACTCATTGTCATTTTCAAGAAATCAGTCATAGATGATTCGTGCTTTATGACATGGCACGTTTTCCTGCTGGAAGTAGATGGGTGCACTGTGGTCATAAAGTGATAGACATGGTCAGCAATAATACTCAGGTAGGCTGTGGCATTGACACGATGCTCAATTGGTACTAATGGACCCAAAGTGTGCCAAGAAAAAATGTCCCACACAATTACACCACCACCACCACCAACCTGAACCGTTGTAACAAGGCAGGATGGATCCATGTTTTTATGTTGTTGACGCCAAATTCTAACCCTACCGACTGAATGTGGCAGCAGAAATCGAAATCAACCATGCCACGTTGAAAGTCACTTACATCTGCTTTCATCCTCATTCTGATGGTCGGTACATGCCTAAATACATTGAGTTGCTGCCATGTGATTGGCTAATTAGACATTTTTGTTAACGAAAAGTTGGACAGGTGTACCTATTAAAGTGGCCTGTGAGTTTAAGACTTTATAATGCTATAATAAACTGAATTAAAATACTTTTTCTTTATTTTCTTCAAACAAATAAAGTATATGCAGTACCTTCTTTTCAGCTGTCTTGTTGCCCAGTTTATGTAACAAACAAATTAAACATGCGTGTATGTGTGTTAGGAATTTCACACATTCAAGTGAAACAATATACAGCATACGGTGTTGTGGTAAACGTGATATTTGACTCAAAGAATTTGACACATTCTGAATTAATATGCTCTGACTGTTCTTTCTCATTCTGATATGTGTGAAGTGTGAAATCTGTAAAATGTGAAGTCTACATATCACTGGGAACAGGGTTTTCTGTGATTTTGTAAGGTATTGACATTATGAAGCAAGTGGATAATGGGGAAAAGTCAGTTTTCTTATTTTGTACTTGGACTTCAGAGGGTGAAAGTAAAACTCAACAGAAGTAGAAAAGAGGCATCTTTAATTTATGAGCCTGTGTGATTTTGCAGCAGCAACTCCAGGAGTTCTACAAGAAACAGCAAGAACAACTCCACCTTCAGCTCATCCAGCAGCAGCATGGCAGCAAACAGCAAAGTAAAGAGGTAATGCTGACTGGATTACTTTACACATACACACACTCAGGCCTGGTGTTCATTAAATGCATCCAGCAGCTGCTTTCCACCAACAGAAGTACCACTGTGTTGTCTTGCTTTGAGTTTGACAATGGGAAGAACTGTACTGCATCCTAACCAGCCATAACGCAATAAGCACTAACATCTTTTTCGGTATCATTTGAGGCTCTGTGATGTTCTGTGGCGCATTATAGTCTCATTTATATAAAATCAGGCTGTGGCTAATTAGACTACAGTGGGGGGAGGAGGGTGTTTCTACTGATTTGACTGAAATATATGTGCCGTTTTGTCACATTAAAATTAAATTATCCTGAAAGTACTTACTGACCAAAATGTACTGTATTAAGTCAAGCTGAAAGCATTTATTGGCCAAAATAATGTGTAACTCTAACATTTGAGAAATTTACAATTATCATTAGAATTAGCAAAAACATCAGTTGTTGTTTTTTATTTTTTTATTTTTTGTAAAAAAAATAAATAAATAAATTGCTGCTGTACCGAATCGGTTTAGATCCATTTCTGAGTTCTATGTGTTTATATGTGTATATAGAATATGAGCAGGAGCAGACTGAAGGGCACATGAGGTTTCCTGGTTGACAGAAATACAGCACAGTTGCATTGCATCAGAGGCACGCTCTACCTCTTTGTCTTTCTCTCTCTTTCTTCATTTAAAGGCCGTATCACCAGCTGTGTGTCTGGCTGCTCTAATGACAGCAGGATAAGGCAATGCTCTGGACAAAAGAAGCGATTATTGTGCGGTCAAAAGCAGTTCAAAGACAATCAGAGTTTCACTTTTTAACTTCCCCACCGAGAGCTTGGTTCTGTAACCAGAGAGAGCGCATCAATGAAGGCGAATGTTATAAAACACGCACACACACACACATGCTTACTTCAAAGTCCCCCAGCTCGCTAATTAATGAACTGGGGGCTTCAGTTTGGACAAGTTGTGGTGCGTCGCCTCCATAAATCAATGCGACAGGACAGTTTCTCCTGCCTCTGACAGAAGCTGTCACTCTTTCTCTCTCTCTCTTTCTCTCCCTCTCTCTCTCTCTCTCTCTCTGCTGTCAGAAGGACAGGCAAAGGAAAGGGACTCTGGAAAGAGAGGGGGGTTGAAAGAGGGAGGGTGGCACCGTCAAAAGGAGAAACAATTGATCAGCTGAATGGAACGTGACGAACGGCAAGAAAAACACAGTTTAAAAGAGTATTATGTATGATCACAGGAATTTGATGCAGCCCTCGAGAGGCTCTCCTCCGTCTGCGCGTGTTTTTCTCTCTGCGTTCGTTCCCCCTCCTTCCCTTGCGCAGCCATCAAAAGATGGAGTAGGAATTGTTGCAGCGATTCCCCCCACGGGGGTCAGACAATAACCCCCCGCTGCTGCTTTGTGCCTCTTTTATTTAAAAGACAACAAAATTTCTTAGGTTTTCAAAGATTTTTAACTTTGGATTGGAGGCGAGGCAATAAAAGGGCCTGCCAGCGTCAGTCTGGATCATGTTGTCATCTGCTCTGTTCTCGCCTCTCTCGCGTGCCACTCTGAGTTAACCTCGCGCTCCATGTGCCGAGCTGGCGTTGGGTTAACGCTCATGTGCAGAGGAACATCTCCAGTGGCCCAGGCTAGATCAAAATCAACATTAAATGAAAAAGATTTTATAAGATGCAATTTGTTTGCATTCAGTTGTTATCATGAAGTATCTGTACTTTTACAGCATTTGAAATTTTGTGTTTTTTTTTATTATAATTTTAATGAATTAAATTAAAAATGCTGTAAATTAAAGTATATACTTTAATTTTATATATTTTAACATTTTTAATCGCTAAAGTAAACATAAAATTGGCATTTCAGTCATGTTTACATAGAAGTGCAATGGCTTCTCAAACAAATAAAAATTGTAGGACAGGACATGCGTTTGTAATGTATGCAGTAAAAAGTCAGCCACAAAAACTGCCGCCTATGTTTTTATCGCTAATTCTTTATTGCAGTGGCTTAATAAATCATGTTGCCAATGTAATGCTTGTGTAGCCAATTTTCACAATCAAATTTAAAATTTAAAATTAAAAATATAAAATTTAAATTTAAATCTAAAGTTTTACATTTGTATTAAGGCTGTGTGAGTAATTGAAATTGTATGCAAATCGTGATTTGGACATGCACAACTTCTAAATCGCCTTAAATCTTGATTTTCCCATAGTATGCTATTTACACCAATCATAACGCAGTGTGCTTAAACAGCATGAGAACAGGAGACTGAATATCCTGCATAAGCAGGGATGATGAGTTCAGCACAGTTCACCTCCATAGAAAATTTCAGACTTGTGCACTTAAAAGACGTGATATGTGAATGGCCTATTTCACGGCAGCGTCGCAAAAAGGACTATGATCTATGCATGGAAAAAAATGTGGGGACACATACAAAAGTACACGCAGCAACTTCTGATATGTGGTGAAGCAGAACTTAGCAGCCTTACTTGACTTTGACAACACACACACACACACGCGCACACACACACACACGCGCACACACACACACACACACACACACACACACACACACACACACACACACACACACACACACACACACACACACACACACAGTAGTCTATTTAGTTGTTTTGCCATAGGTCTGTTCTAGGGGCAATTACACCTTTACTAGGTGATTTTTTTTCTTCTAGACACATGTCTTTGAGAAAGATCTAATTATTTTCTTTTGAAAATATGTTTTAGATTCACAGTGTAAACGTCTGTGTGTGCGAAAAAATTGTGATTAAAATTGAAATCGCAATTTTGTCCAAGAGAATTGTGATAGGTTTGTACATATTTTATATTGTGTGATATAAAAAGTTATTTAAACACACATGATGTCTATAACATTTGGAAACGGTAGTTTACATAAACCTCATTTTTATATATTTTTAGTGGATTTATTTTTTCTTACTGTAAATGTCAAGATAGTGACAGAAAATTAAAGGACACAGAGAACAGCACAAACTAGATTTAAACCTGCTTCTTTTCACGTATATGCTGGACTACCAATGTGCCACATTATCCAGCACTTCCATTAAAGCATTTGTTTGTCCAGTGCCTCGTGATCTGGGTCAGAGTAACAGAGGCCGTTGAGGATGGGTGGACCGTGAACGCGAGAGGAAAGCGAGAGCTCGCACTTTATCAGGCTGTTTCAGATCTGCTGTGGGTCTAAAGGTTGACCTGTCCGCTGCTGTGTTGCAGGACCTTTTTTGTGCGCCTTCTGTTTGCCGAAGTAAACACAAAGTGAAGCATCCTGTGTTTGGGAAGAGGGTGCGGCACACAGCTTGGCAAAGGCACGTTTGTGCTTTAATGTACCAGTAAACACACAAACGTGTGGCCCTCGGGGTCCATTTTTTCACCTCAAGCCCGTCAGAGGAACCATGGCGGATGTTTAGCTGTTGTCACGAAGCTGTCATGGTGCATGGCCGAGGTCATAAACAACAGTGTTAGCACTGAAAGGGGTCAACGGGAGGGTTCAATAGCTTTGTATCTCCATAACATCTCCCATTTGTTTTGACTGAGGGTCGATTGGGGATGTTAGATAATTTCCTCCCATTTATCGTTCTGACGACGCAGCAGTTCATTCGTTCGCCCATTCTTCCCACTCCTTCTGTCTTTCAACACCCTCTTATCCCCGTTTCCCTTCCACTTTTACTAACTCTTCCTCTTCCTCTCAGAATTCCCCCAGTCATTTGTCACCTTCTTTTTCTTTAAGCTTCGTTCCATCCGCGAACATGTGATGTATTGGTTATTGCTTTTTCAAATATTTCCCAATAGATTTTTAACAGAGAGATGTTTTTCAACTCATTTTCAAGCATAGTGGTTTTATTAACTAATTTATTTAGCCTTTGCCATGATGACACTACGTAAAATTTTACTAATTATAATAATGTAGGGTGGCAGAGTGGCTCAGTGTGTAGCAGTGTCGCCTCACAGCAAGAAAGACGCTGGTCAGTTAGCATTTCTGTGTGGAGATTGCATGTTCTCTAGTGTTGGAGTGGATTTCCTACAGGTATTCCAGTTTTCCCACAGTCCCCCAATAGGTAAATTGGATAAACTAAGTGAAGTTTCAAAAACTAATTTCGAGAGGAGCATGTGATATGGTTGAGCACGACTGTCTGCTCATCTGTAATAAATAATAATCCAATCAGATTGATCGAAGCTTACAATAAATGGACTGAATTATTATTATTTTATTTACTTATTTATTTTTTCCCTACTGCTCTAGCTTCGTTTTGGAAGAATTACCCCTTCAACCCCATCTCCTCCTTTTCCTCCCTTTTCAAAGTGGAGCTCTCAAGACCTACCTGATCTCGGATCCCCTTATATGCTTATTGACCAGGCGGGGACCTTGGGCTCAATTATTTCCGAACTCAGTGTTCTCTCCGGGGACAGCATCCCAAACCTGCTAATAATGCCAAGCATATCAAAGTTGGAACTCTTAAAATTGGCCATATTGTATGTGTGTGTGTGAATGAGATACTGGTTTGCGGCTGGAAGGGCATCCGCTGTGTAAAACATATGCTGGAAAAGTTGGTGGTTTATTCCACTGTGCCGACCCCTGATAAATAAGGGAATAAGCCAAAGGAAAATGAATGAATGAATAATTATGATGCAAGATACTAGTATTCAATTCAATTTGCAATTTAAAGCCTTAATTAACTTGGTTCATTGGAATAACTAGGCAAGTCAGGTTAATTTGGCGATAAGGATAGTGTTGTTGTTTTTTTTGTTTTTTTTTTTGGCGATAGTGGTTTGTTCTATAGTCAATCTGAAAAAACAAACACATAATTTAATAATAATACTGACCTTAAAAATTATAATTAAAACAATAAAATATATATATATTAGCCAAACTAAAAGAAATAATGCTTTCTCAAGAAGAATAAATATTATATGATATACTGTGAAAATGTTCTTGACTTCTTGCTCTGTTGAACATCACTTGGGAAAATTTAAATATAATTAACACTTTATTGGAAGTTTAATAATTTTGCCGTCATCTGTATAGACTAGTTACTTTGTTAGCTAGTTACTCCACACTCCCCATTTACCCAAAGGAATCAACGGTTGGCTCCTTCGTCTCTGAATATTAAGCAGCTCTTTTCAGTCAACGGCTGTTTGCGGAGTTATGAATGGCCATAATTAAAATCCTGTGGCTCTTATTAGGAATGATTAACAACATTTCATTATTTGTCACGAGCCTCCCAGACTTCTTGTTAATTAAGGAGGTTACATGAATACAGGAATGTACCTGTGTGTGTGTTTATCAGCCCTCAGTGTATACGTATATTTGTGCATGTGTTGACAGAATAGTTTGTGAGTGTGAGGATGATATGTAGTTTGTCTCTTTCTCTCTCGGCAGGTGTCCGCACAGCAGTTGGCGTTTCAGCAGCAGCTGCTCCAGGTCCAGCAGCTCCAGCAGCAGCATCTCCTGAGTCTGCAGAGACAAGGCCTGCTGTCCATCCAGCCCAACCAGACTCTGCCTCTGCACACCCTTACTCAGGGTAAGAGCAGGCACAGCCGTCGACTTTTATTCACACACACACACACACATACAGCTACAGAATGGAAATCAAAAGTAAAAGACAATCATTCAAAAAATTCATCACACTCCAAAGCAAATGTCTCTTTCTTTCACACTGGATGGCTGATGTGGCCTTTTTAATGTGTCATTGTTGTTTGTATTTATTTCTTTATTTAGATGATTCATTTGGTTTCATATTCTGAAAAAACTGCTGCAGAATTATACAGATTGCAACATGATTTTTGTGTTTGCTTTCAAGATAATTTTTTAACGCTGGACTAATTTGGCTTTATTATTTTTCTGATACATAAAGAAGGATAGATGGTTTTAAAAATATAATGTTTAACATGTTTAAACAATTTTATAAAACATCTCAGAAAGAGCTTATAATAATACATTAAGTACATTGCATATTGTGTGTTATTATGAAATATTTCATAGGATTTTCTGTAGTATTAAATAAAAGTTGTTGTATATACGGTATACTAGTCATAAAATAAAATAATAGAATTTGGTGTAGTGGTAGTGCGTTGTCACATGCACTCAAATGTTCACAGCAACCTAAGTTCGATTCACCCCTCGAGGTCCTATGCCGATACTTTCACTCTCTCTGCTCCCCAAATACATAATCACACTTAACATCAAGAATCATCAAAAGCTAATCATGCAGAAAAATGTTTTGTACATAGCAATTGTTTTTTGTTGTTTTCTAAATGAGCTAAAATATTGTACCGAAATAGAACTTACTTCTGTTTGCATTTGATGTTCTTTTGCGTTTATCCTTTAGAGTCAGAAAACATCCCCATATTACTGCTTTTCTTTTTTACTGCTTTTTTTTATCCGCCCCCGACGGAGAGATTTTATCAACACATTTATAGACATAATAGTTTTAATAACTCAGTTCTAATAACTGATGTATTTTATCTTTGCCATAATGACAGTAAATAACATTTTACTAGATAATTTTCATTAGGTTAATTAGGTTAACAAGGCAGGTTAGGGTAATTAGCCAAGTTATTGTATAATGATGGTTTGTTCTGTAGACTATCAAAAAAAAATTGAAGCTTAAAGGGGCTAATAATTTTTAACCTTAAAATGGTTTAAAAAAAATTAAAAATGCTTTTATTTTAGCTGAAATAAAACAAATAATACTTTTTCTTGGAGGAAAAAAAATGATCAGACATAGTGTGAAAATAAACATGATTTGGGAACTATTTAAAAAAGAAAAAAAAGTCAAAGGGGGGGGATAATAATTCTGAATTAACCTGTACATACACTGTAAAACCCCAAAAAAGTCAAGGTAACTTAAACCATTTGAATGAAACCTATTGCAACAAACCATTTAAGTTCAAAGACTAATCCTAATGAGTACTGTGAACTTAATGGGTTTCCTCCAATTTCTGTTTAAAGGAAGAATTTTTTTAACACATTTCTAAACATAATAGTTTTAATAACTCATGAGACCTGATTTCTGTTAACTTTGTCATGATGACAGTACATAATATGTTTCTAGATTTTTTCCAAGATGCAAGTATTCAGCTTAAAGGGCAGTTTACAGGCTTAACTAGGATAATTAGGCAAGTTATGTTAATTAGGCAGTTCATTGTATAATGGTAGTCAATTGAAAAAAAATATTGCTTAAGGGGGCTAACAATTTGGCCCTTAATATATATTTATATATATATATATATATATATATATATATATATATATATATATATATATATATTTTTTTTTTTTTTACTGTTTTTATTCTAGCTGAAATAAAACAAATAAGAATTTCTCCAGAAGAAGAAATAATACTAAAATGGAAAATTCTTGCACTGTTAAACATAATTCGGGAAATATTTAAAAAAAGAAAGAAAAATTCAAAGGAGGGCTAATAATTCTGACTTCAACTGCATATATCTCTGTTTTAGGTCTATTGTCTTATGTTGGCTCCCCTTCAGCCCCTAAACATACTAGCGCCATTGTTTCCTAACCTCAACCCACTAAACTAGTCAAAGATTAATCACTTCACAAGCAGCCCGTGAGTCAAAAGGTGTTTTTCCAGAAGGTGTATTGCTTTATTTTCCTTGTCATATTTACTTAAGGAGCAGCAACAGAATGACAAAGACTGCATTCATACCGGTTTTGTTTTGAGTTTTTGTTTTCTTTCTTTCCAAAGCTGACTGTACTCTCTCCGGCTAAGACAAACAAGCCCATAACAAGATAAGGCTGTATAAAGACTGGGGAGGGGGTGCTTGGGTAACACGCAAATACAAACTGTGTTTGTTCAGTCTTGTTATTGTTTGATCAGGGAATAGTCAGAAAGCTGAGCCACTCCACATACCCACGTTGCCCTGGGGCTGGGAGAGGCTCTGCTTTACAATGCAGAGCCATAGGCTAGTGTCAGAAACAGGCCATCTCAACCAAGGGCAGTTTTATTTCTCATACAGTACAACTGATTGAATGACATCTCAGAGCGACCAGCAAAAACATGTGAGGCTGCTTTCTGATGCAGAACATAATATTGTTTGCATGCACATTAGAATAAGTGGACTTCAAAGTGAAGGATAGTTTTTTTGCTACATATTTTTCTGCAAAAGAATTATCCATTTTTTAATCTAAACATGTTTATAGCTAATTCTCACTAATAAATACTGGCTTATTACCTATAGATTAATAAGATATTGGCTATTTATTAGTACTTCTAAAGTATGGTCTTGTTGTACATTCCTAATTCTACCCAATACCCACAATAAACTGAACTATAACCTAGTTATCACAAGATGTTGAAAGACTTCTTCACTGCATACACACAATTTAGTATTTTTCAACACCAAATCTTTGCATCAAGTTATTGGCAAGTAAAGAGACCAGGAAAACACAAGGCCCGCTGTTCTTCCTCTGCAAAACATGACAGATTGATTTCATGCATGTTACAGTATATTACGTGTACATGGCAGTGAAGGATGTAAATTTCCTAGTTTGGAACCTGTTTGTCTAGTATTAGTCCAAGATAAATTGATAGAGTAGCTATAAAAGGCTAACATTTGGTTGGTTAAAACAATTAAAACAACATACAATACAAAACTTGTATTGTTATTATTATTTATTTATTTTAAATAGGGCTTTTGTTCTTTCAATTGCTCAGTAAAATCAAATGTGTTTCCTCAAGAGCGTGTTTTTGCATTCAAACAGTGGCATTTCATGTCCGATGTTAGTCTGGAATGCTTACAGGTCACCTAGCACAGTGGCTGGTAAAATCTGGCCAAAGTTTGGCTGGCGTAAGTGGGGGGTAATTTCATATCCTAATTAAAACACTTGTCAGTATGTGTGTGAGTGCATGTGTGTGTGTGCGTGTGTGTGTGTGTGTGTGTGTGTGTGTGTGTGTGTGTGTGTGTGTGTGTGTGTGTGTGTGTGTGTACTGCACATTTTCTGCTTCAATGTTAAAAGTTATTGATGACCTTTTTTTCTTTCACACTCCACTGCATTCTTTCATGCTCCAGCAGCCCAGTTTTCCATTCGCAAGATGTAATCTACAATATTCAGTAGTTAGCTAGGTAGTTAGCATTAGAGTGATAAACTTATGTTACCTCATTGTGTGTACGTGGTGATGATGTGCTTGGGCAAGCTACTTAGCAAGATTTCTGGGCCAACGACATGGGCTGAAATTGGATTATTTATTAAACTTAATACAATCTTTTTACCTCACAGTGTCACATTTAATATACAGAAACATTCAGTCATTTTCTGGCACAGAAGCGCTGACATCTGAGACTTCAATCGAAGCAATGTGTTGTTTTCTGTTGTATTTGAGGTTGGATCACTTTTTTTGACGTTCAGGTTTTGGAAAGGGTCAGCTGAAGTCTGCTATGAATTAAAACAATGTGTTGGAAGAGATAAATATCATAAATGGAGTCCAGAGGAAAAAAAAATAGCCGTGGACTTGCAGAATGAGTAATAGAATGAGAAAAGAACAGATCAGTACAGTATATTCAAGAAAGGCAGAGAGATATGGTGCATTTGGATGACAATTATTGGTCTATTTACTTGTACCATGTGAACAGTGCGAAGATTTGGGAGGATCACTTCATTTTCAATAGAAAGTGAATACAAGCTAAATTGTCAGGCTGAGTGTGCACGCAATTCAGGAGTCACTCCACATGTTGTAACCTGAAATAAGAAACATACCATATACAAATTTGATGTAAATCCCTAAATAGGACTTTTCATTTGTCAGTAACCTGGGTTAAGCGCTTCTTACATTTCCCTACGCCATGTCTTTATAATATGAGCATTTATTTTGCCCCAATATATTCAATGGAGCTTCTGCGCTAGCCTGCCAATTCTGACGGGCACGTGCGAGTAAACGACTTTTTGTCTCGTTTTACGCTTGAGCAACTAAACGAATGCCAAAGTTTATTTAACTGAATGTATTTTAATGACATTACAACATCGATGCTGTAAAAGGAACCGTATAAAATAAAAAAAAAGTTCACAATAACAGGTCACCGGAAGTTTATCAGTATGGGAAAAACATTAGCTCGGCATATACCCTATTGGGATATGTTGTAAATGTTAAGCATTTTGGTGGAATAAGAAACTCTTTCATAGCACAGGTATATAATTTTTAACTTTACTTGAGTAAATTAGCTTTTTTAGTCTTGTAAATATCTCTAGTTTGTGTTAACAGAATGGGATTTAGTGGAAGAGGCCTGTTTTTCTGCATTTATTTGTGTTTGTCCCTAATTTTGCACAATATTAGCCTGCTCTGATCTGCATCTGTGTCCTCCTATACACACTTTGTGAATCCCTCTTGTTTTGGAGTTAATTCTCATCCCCAGCCGCACATTAGTTAAGTTGTCCAGTCAAGGGCCACAGGACACTGACAAGACAAATTTGCCACTAATATGAAAGCAGCAAATGTGACCAGCCATGAAGCGCGATGTGCGCACGGACCCAACAGGGGACTCCGGCCCCTCGTCCAGCCTTGCTGGCAGTGATTGATCGGCTGGCAATGCGGCACTGTTTAATAGCTTCTGTAGCATTAGGGAGGAACATATTTTAGGCCTAAGGGCTGCATATCAAAGGCCCCAGTGATCATAACCCCTTTAACGGGAGGGAGAGAAGATCTCTGCCTCACAGAACAATAAACTAATAGTAGTGTCAGTTTGCCCCCAGTGGCGCGGCGGCAGTCTCGTCAAGAAAGACGCGGCCACCGCTTTTTCGTGGCCCCAGCGCGCGATGGCATTTTTTATCGGGCTGCTGATGGGCCACAACTAATGTGGTTGTGAACCTTAAATCAACTTTCCGCTTGCTCGAACACGGTCACCAGGGTACCGGGGTACAAGGACAGGAAAAGGTTGAAGCGAGAGTTCGGGGCCCCTGTCTGGGTGTCGCCGCTACCTGCTGTGGTAAAAATTGAGTTGCTTTGCCGGCGATCAGTCAAATGTCTCAATGACATCCATTTTTTAAAAGCACAAGTGTGTATCTTTGGCTTTTAATGAGAGGAGGTGCAGTGCTGAAAAATGACTTTAGGGCCGTTAAAGCGATCTGGAGTTTGCAAGACGGATTTAAGGACAAAGCACTGTTTTAATGCTATGTGTTATCTGCCGAACGTCACGTCCATCATTTGATACTAACTGACACTGATAATGCGCTGATGTTTGCCAGATTGGTTGAGAGGTCATGTAAAGATATATGCAAGCAATTTTGAGAGATACAACTGTGAGAAGGAGGAAGATCTTAACCCAGGCTTAGAACGAGATATAGAGGTTTATGGGGGGTGTCATGCACAACAAGACAGCTTCGTCCCACTCTGTTACCCCTCTCATCAGCTCCTCCTCCCCCTCCAGCTTTGATTCGTTTGAGTAAACAGTGGTGTCGGGGTCACCTGGACTTGTGGGTAATTGAGGGAGAGTGGGCCGCCCTGTCAAGCGCACCGGCTAAAAATACATTGCACACTGTCACTGCTCTCCAAGTGGGGGGAAAATGATTGTTCCCCTCTATGTCCAAACTCAAAAACAATCACCAGCGCCGTGACCTTCTTGAATCCACACGGACAAGTTTTCCCTCCCTCACAATGACAACAGCAAAGACAAAAAAAACAAGCAATCCAGTCGATACCTTCGGACACCACAGAGTTTGACGAGGACGTTAAGACACCGCAAGACGGAAAAGGAAAAAAAAAAAAAAAAGCCCAAGGAAGCAAAAGATGCCATGTGGCACGTGGGAAGGTTATTGATTCGTCCTGCAATAATTTCCACTGGCTCTTTTATATGCAAACGATCTTGTGTGAATTTATGGCAGTTCTACCAGACTCATTTCACAGTTTTTAGTCTCTCTCGCTCCATCTCTTTGTCTCTCTATCTCTCTCTCTCTCTCTCTCCCTCTCTCTCTGGAGTCTTAGCCGCCTCATTAGCTTACTGTTCTCCATTACTGGCATAATTAAAATCTTTAGTAGCTTATCAAATTAAAAATATTTTCTGCTGATCGTATTGAGATCTTCACCTCCTCGTTATTTTGCCACAACAGGAATAAATTAAGACTAAGCGATTCTTGCACAAATGTATTATGGTGGAGCGCTTGAAAGAGGCCACTTCTGCTATCTGTAAAGAGAATTATTATGAAGGAGAGAGAATGTGAGAGCGAGGGAGGAGGAGGAGGGAAAACAAGGAGACCAATGAAGATAACCGAGAAAAAAATTCCTGCCCGTTTGTTTTCACTCATTTTGGAAATCGATTTAATTGTGATGGTAATCGATTGATGACCCATCGCCCCAAAACTGTCTGATTCATTTTAGAGGATATACAAAGAACTTTGTAAAGTCACAGTCAGAGCATTTATTTAGCCCTTCCAGCCGCTAAAAAATATTTATAATCATGGTTTACAATAAATAGTTTTTAAATGTGGATGTAACATCAGGGGTCCGTTCTTCATCCTTCGCTTAAATGATCTAAGATGATTTGCTAGATCCTTTAATCTTGATAACTGATCTCTGGCTAATTTTGTTCTTCAAACAAGTTTGTGAAAAGATCGCAAATCTATCGATCCTTGAAATCATGATCAGCGATGCAACGATTGGCTGATGGCACAGCAGCGTGATGACTTTATCTAATTAATATTCAATTATTCATGTGAGCAAAATTACATAAAAATCGTAGTAAATGGTTTGTTAAATATCAATATAAATAAACACCACATTTGTAGTGGGCTGCAGGCTTTTACACTTTCATGTGTCAAGAGTATTTAGCAGTTTATTTAGTTTTACATTTACAGTTTTTTCATTATTATAGTAGCTTAGTCTTATTTTAAGTTTCTTAATCTGCTTGAGGTATTTAGATATTGGTAAGGGTGTCTGCAACTTTTTCAAAGCATCAGATTATCGGCATATTAGCTGTCAATACGTGTACATGACTGTATAAATTATTATTCCTTAAAAAAAGAAAAAAATGTTGAATATTGTGAATGTCTATTATGCATATATTGTTCTAAAGCTGGGTCGGTACCTTAAAATAGTGTGCATTTCTATCTAAAAACTATATATATAGTTAATTTCATATATATAATTTTTTTAAAAACAATTTACTATTTCCCCAAGTGTATATAACAACTACTGAAAGAAAATATCAGAATTCGGTACATACTTTCAGTATTACCTTTGCTTGAAATTACTTGATCTAATCCTGTTCATTTGAAATAAGCCTGCTCCCAAGCAGGTTTAAGCTGCCAGAACTGTTGCTTTGACAACAATTCTCAAATGAGTTTTGTAGAATGAGATGATCCTGGATCATGTCAAATCGTCAATAACCAAATCCAGCTGATTAAGTAATCCACATACGAAGAACGCACCCTTGATAGTGGATCACTACTAATGAAAAATGTGTTCTATTGGGCAGTTGTCATTTTCTGAAAAATAAAAATGCTATAAATCACAATATTTTTTATTTGAAAATTGAAACAAATTATATCAGACCAGGTGGTTTATTCCGCTGTGGCGACCTCTGATGAAAAAAGGGACTAGTTTGAACGAAAATTAATGATTTCAGAACAAATATTTGCATTTCACTCAAATTTATTAAACCCAGTAATCTAAAATTTCACAATAGCTATATATAAATAATTAAGGGTACAAGGGAGGTCCTTTCCAAATGTGGCCACTCGAATGGGTTAATTTCATCGTTAGCCCTTTGTAATTCTCAGCCGAATAGCATTGAGCGATGGGTTGCTTATGTGGGTGTGTGTATAAGTGTTTGCGTGTCTGTCACAGAATTGAGGCAACATCTTGTCTTCAAGCAATTTTTCTTCCCACTTATCTTTTTCTCTCTTTTTTTTCAAAGGACGTATGAGCCGCAGTGTGCTTGACTTGTTAAATGAGGTTTAAGTCGTCTGTGTCAATTGGAAGCGGTGCAAAACTTTAAGCATTTTGCACATTAACATGCTTTCGAGAGTATTACCCTGGGGGCTTGTTCGTTCTTTCACTTTCTCCCTCTCTATCTGCGGAGAGAGGGATGCTTTTGTGGTCTTGTTTTGTGTGTATGCGTGTATGTGTGTGAGAGAGAGAGCTGGCTGACTTCCTTGTCAGAGAAATAATGGTGATTATTCAGATTTCATGCCTTGTCTGTATGTTAATTATTTACTTCAAGCATGAAATGCGCGTGAATGCCAGGGAATTTCTGTACACAAACACGCTTCATGTTGCACGTAGGGGAAAAGAGAGAGAGAATGGCAGAGCGAGAGGGCAGGCGCCGCGTATCAGCCTGTAGTGGAATAATTAATGCCCCCCTTTTGTTTACTGAGCCCTTGTTTTTTATTTAATTATGCCATGAGTAGAACCAGATTAGCTGTTAATTGATTTAATTATCCAATTTGTTTGTGGCAGGCATGATTCCAGCCGAACTGCAGCAGCTGTGGAAGGAGGTGACAAACAGCCATGTGAAGGAGGAGAACAGCGTGACCAATAACGGTCACCGGGGTCTGGACCTGTCCTCCCCCTCCCCCGTTCCACTCAAAAACCACAACCAGCATGGATCCACCAACGGCCAGTACATCAGCCACTCGCTCAAGAGAGAAGGGTAAGGTGGCCAAATGTTGACCTGAGAGTTTTTGGAGTTGACTAGGCACTTTTGAGGGCAGTCTGAGATGCTGTTGAAGAATGTTGTAAAGCTCTTGAGGCTATACTTATAAGTACATATACATACGTAAACATACGTATTTAACCCTATCGTTCCTACGCACACATACAATTCATTTGAGTTTGAGTAATTTTTGAATAAAATTATTTTAATTCTCAAGATAACGAAACATCCCTTTCTGGGAAGCTGGCGCAAAGTATTAATAATATAAATGTAGGTAGCTCCAACCAGGGAAATTACTGTAGCTCTGTTTTTACTACATAATACATTAGTCTAAGTATACTGATGCAGCACAATCATTTGATATTATGACCATTTCAGAACGACTTGTTCTTTCTAAGTGTATTTTTATCATTCTGAGGCTATGTTTACACGAAAAGATTAATTGTGATTAATCACATCTAAAATAAAAGTTTGTATTGGCATACAGTAATATGTGTGCACTGTAGGGATGGGAAGATTAATCGATATGTATCGATACGCGGTCATGCGCGTGCACGATGCGAGTGCATCGGTTGAGCAGCAGAGGATGAATGAAATTTTGGAAGCAAATCGAGATGCATCGGTTTTTGCGAGATGCATCGGTTTTTCCGAGATACAGCTCATTTTTTTAATAAAGAATGTATTTTTTATTTAATAACAAGTGTTGTCAACCTGTTTTTGCCGCATAATTTAATCGACCTACATAAAGTAAGCCTTAGCAACAGATTTGCGAATGTGTACACTTACACTACAACTGTATCAGGTGTGCGGATGAAGCTAGTGGAGCGCCCTCAGAAAGCGCGAGAAGCAAAACAAACATTTTATTCCCCACTGAGTTTTAAATCTAAAGTATGGCAACATTATGGATTTAAGGATGGACGACTTGACAGGACAGATGCAATTTGCAAAATGTGCCGCGCATCTATAAAATACGCGGGCAGTACGACTAATCTGAAATCTCACTTGAAGCGGCGCCACGGTTTTGTTGTGAAAGCATCTTCCAGTGTTCCTACATCACCGGCTTTCACACTGCTTGAACTGTAGCTACCAGCTCCAAAAGTGGTGAGAAAAGCATTGCAAGTTTTTTTTTCCATGCGCAAAAGTTTTGTCAATAACGGATGTTATTGCATTGTTCATCTGCAGGGCCGGAGCAAGCTGAACTGCTGCTCTAGGCAGAGGACGATCACGCCGCCCTCAACCCCAATGTGAAAACGAAAGTGACCGGTTATGAAAATGGAGTGACGTGTCGCAGACCTCTATTCTGCCGCCTTATGCGCGGATATAACTGAGGACGCGCGGGTGTCGCGGACCTCTATTCTGCCGCCTTATGCGCGGAAATAACTAAGGACGCGCGGGTGTCGCGGACCTCTATTCTGCCGCCCTATGCGCGGAAATAACTGAGGACGCGCGGGTGTCGCGGACCTCTATTCTGCCGCCCTATGCGCGGAAATAACTGAGGACGCGCAGGTGTCGCGGACCTCTATTCTGCCGCCCTATGCGCGGATATAACTGAGGACGCGCGGGTGTCGCGGACCTCTATTCTGCCACCCTATGCGCGGATATAACTGGGTGTTGCGGACGCCGCCCTCTCTATACTGCCGCACTAGGCGGTTTTAAACACCTCCTCCTGTTAATTTTTATTTAATTATAATAATAATAATAATATTAATAATAATAATGATAAAAATAATGGGTGTCACGGTGGCACAGTGGGTAGTTTGACCACCTCACAGCAAGAAGATTGCTGGTTTGTTATATTTTTATTAGCCTGTTGTTTACAGTGACAGTGATGTTTCAACGCAGCATAACACTGCTAGTTTACAACCTTAAGTTTTGAATAATCAGTGGCAAAATATATCTTTGTAAAACTTGTTTTCATAGTTGAAAAGTTAAATCACAATTCTTGTTGTGCAATGGTAATCCTTTATGTTGAAAGAGTGCAAATATATATATTTTAATATATATTGCACTTATACATTCTGTTTATCTTGAAAATACTTAAATAATATGTGCTATAGGTTCTAAAATGGCCCTCTACTGTAAACTGACACTCTGGCTCTGAGAGAAAAGCCAGTTTGTAAAAAAAGTCTTGGTTTTGCTTGGATCTAGCTAGTTTGCTAGCATCCTCTTTTACATAATCTCATAAACTTGATTTAATTAGTTAGTGCTGAAATATCGCATCGTATCGTGATATGGATGTGAATCGTATCGTGTTGCATCGCAATATGTCATAAATGTATCGCTAATATATCGGATCGTATTCTTTGTATCGAGATGCGTATCGGATCGGCATTATAGCTTAGATGCCCAACCCTAGTGCACTGTATTATGTATATATAAAAACACACAACCATGCATGTATTTAGAAATAAAGTATACATGTATATCTTACAAATTATATATAAATTTAAATGTCTATGTAACAAAATGAGTTTGTATAGTTTTGTTTCTATGTTTGTGTGTGTATCACATATATTTAATAAATGTATATAATACACATATATTATGCCAAAACAAACTTTTAATTTTGATGCGATTAATCGTGATTCATTTTTCCAAGCAAAAATGTTATGCATTTGACAAGGCGTTTAGGGAAAACTGAGTGTGCTGAGATTGTTTCGCTGGTTAGTTCAGTTTTCCATTCACATCATCTGTTGAGTTTTTGCTTGAAAATCAAGGCAAGAGGTTTTTTTCTTTTCTTTCTTCAGGCATTTATGTGTGTGTTCTCTCATTGGATTAAAAAAAAATCCAACATTTCAATACAGCATATATTTATGTAATATCCCAAAAGGTAGGAATACATTTCTTTGATAGGAAAACACTGTAAAGCCAACAAGATTTCGCAGTGTCTCTTATTTAGTCATTCATTTTCTTTACAGCTTAGTCCCTTTATTAATCAGGGGACGCCACAGCGGAATGAACTGCCAACTTATCCAGCATACATTTTACGCAGCGGATGCTCTTCTAGCTGCAACCCATTACTGGGAAACATCCATACACTCTCATTCTCACACACACACACACTCACACACTCGCACACAAACTACGGACAGTTTAGCTTACCCAATTCACTTATAGTGCATGTCTTTGGACTGTGGGGGAAACCGGAGCTTCTGGAGGAAACCCACATGAACACAGGGAGAACATGCAAACTCTACACATTTATGCCAACTGACCCAGCCGAGGCTAGAACCAGTGACCTTCTTGCTGTGAGCCGACATCACTACCCATTTCGCCATTGCGCTGCCTGCTGTGTCTCTTATTAAGGTGGAAATCCCTTCTAGGAAAGCCAGCTTGATAGACAGATACCCACAGGGCATTTCCTGCAAATTAAGCCTAATTTTATCTTTTCTAAGTACTCTGCCATTTTCAATAAGGACCATGCATGTCTGCCTAGTCCTGTTCATCAGGGAATTCCAGTAAAACACCTGAAAGAATGGCAGATTACAGGTCAGATTACTGCAATGAAAATAAAATCAACCTATAACCATTTTGGTTTGCTTAGCGTTTTAAATAACATTCAGGTGGTTTTCTGAAATTCAACTTTGCGATATTGAAAACAAAAACTGATAAATCTTTCAATGCTGAATCGCTCTATTTTGTGTAAACGCACCTAAAGAGAAGTTGATTTAATGCTATTACATGCAACAGTTGCACAACACAACACAGCACAGCTTTGCTAAACACCGTAAAGCCTCTTTAAAGCCCTGACACTTAAAGATTTATTTGGTGGAAGCATCACATCGCTGTGTCTTTAAGGAAGAGATTAATTTAGTTTATAACGCATTTGCTTGTTTTCATGTGCTCAGTCCTGATCTTTGAACCGCTGGTGAGAAGCCTCCAGGCACTGTGAGCTCATTTATTTGTCTCTCTCTCTCTTTCTCTTCACATCTGACTCAGATTTGACTGATCAAAACCAATGTGTTGTTATGAAAGCAATGCGAATGAAAACACATTTAGTACTGCAAAACAAGCTCTAGCTAAAGGTAAAGAGAGAGTTCACATACATGTCTCCTGGCTTTTTCTACTCGTGTAGTGAAGAGTGGAATTCATGGCAGCTTTGCTTAACATCTTTTTCAACTGGCCCTGATGTAGTTTATGCTATGGGGCTTACTTTCTGTGTTTCTTCTTGAACATGCCATTCAAATTGGTCATAGCAGGCTTATTGAACTGTTATTGTTAGGTTTGACGTTAGCATGTTACTGAACAAGTGACATTTCTTTTTAAATAGAGAAATTTATCGCACATGATATTGGCTGAAATTGTATTTATTTATTTATTTTTATTTAATTTACTTAGATTTTCTTTACCTGATTTACACTGTTTATCAAGTTATTTGCTTTTATAATAATGCTGTACTGCATTTTGGAATCCTAAAAAGATGTCTAATGTTGTTTTCAGTGGATGCTTCAAGTTCTGATGAGCACCAAACTTGGTCAAAACACACCAGAGTTCGTTTGGAAATAGATGGAATCCCCTCTTACAGAGGTCTTAGTCCACTTATAAATAAACTCTGGTGAAGTTAACCAATGTTGCCAGATCATCAGAATGAAATCCACCCAGTTCCTATTCAAAACTATAGTTCGAGTGGGACAGCATTAAAATTGGGGTGGAAGGATTGGTCCATGCCCTCAGCTAAACTCACTTAACTCGCAAAAATTCAAAATAATTTGAACTTTAAACCAAAAATGAGATGCAACCATGAAAATGACATAGTTTGTTTCCATTTTTTCATGTCGATTATAGCTCAGTACATTTTTTAACTGATGAAAATCTCATCACTTGCATACACATAATAACAACAGTTTTTATCCCACATACAGCATTCTTCTGGATGTTGTATTAGTTAAAATATACACATTTAAACCTGCAATGGCTTGCTTTTAATTTGAAATCATCTTTATTTACTGCTAAGTTCCTAATTAAATAATGGCATCTGAATAGGCAGCTTACTCGTTTATTGAAACAGAGCAACTCAGTCATGCTTTAATGCTCTCTTATTTTATTTCTGCAGACGATATTCTCACACTCTCCCATAGAGAAACAGTCTATCACTCCCGTTTCCTCAAAGTGCATAAACAACCCGTTCTCTATCACAATACCACAAGCCTTTTGTGCCATAGCAGGCTAGAAACACTCAAAAAGACATGTCGGAAAGCTCCCTGCTTCACTCGCTGCCTTTTGCTCGGTGTCAGAGATTAAAGAAGACGTCAACAGCAGTTTAGCAGCCCTGCCGTGAAGAAGGCATTTTGTAGACTGAGTATCTCAGATCTGTCAGAGAAAAAGGAGCAGGAGATCACCACTCTCTCTTCTGTGTGTTAGCTGAAGAATTAGTGCTGGAGTAGTGTTTGAATGCATTCTATTATAAAGACATTCATAATAACTTAACGATTTTCAGTGTAGTTTCATAAGCAAACATGTGACCTAACGCACCTTGCAAATTTCTACAGCTTTTGATCCAAATATTTATTTAAAAAAAAAAAAAAAACACACGATTTTTTTGTTGTCCCTGAAGAAACTTTATATTACACAAAATGTACTCTACAGTACACTTTACTTTAAAAAAGTTCTTGGGATAATCAGTAAAGGTGCTTCTATGGCATCATTGTGAAAACCCCTCTTCCGTTCTTTATTATTAAGAGAGTAGAAGCTCCGTTGCTGGAAATCCAGGGCTTTTGAGTGGGGGAAATGAAATGTGGACTCGCAAACGTTAATGAACTTTTAATTGATGTGGTTTCTGCAGGTCCCTGTTGTCGTGAAACAGGCGGGCGGCTGTGCGCTGATGGACTTGCTGTGCTTTAGCTCTCTCAGATAGGTTTACCGCCGGGGTCTTAAGCACCGCGCAGGCCGTTTCATGTGTCATATAAAATCTGGCCAGTCGCTGCGACGCCTGCAACTAAAACCTTAAGTGCATCCAACGGCATCATTCACTGTCTTTTCACTTCCGTCTTAAAGGAAGGAGAGAGAAACTCAATCACTTCGTACATGTTTAGACGCGATGGTACCCTGCTTTTAGCAGCCTTCATCGGCTCCCACTGGTGCCTGCACAGAGACAAGCACCTCATACACACCCAAATATGATAAAAGCCTTCGACGTGTCAGTCCATCCGACCCATCAGTGCACAGATAAGGGACAAAAAAAAAACACCCATGAACCTGCTTGAACTTTACTAGGGTGATTGGAAAATAGATGATATAAGTCAGGGTTGACTGGGTAATCTTTATTTTATTTTATTTTATTTTATTTATTTATTTATTTATTTATTTATTTATTTATTTATTTATTTATTTATTATTTTATTTAATTTTATGTTTTTTATTTTGTTTATTTAATTTTTTATTTAATTTGATTTGATTAGATTTTTTATTTATTATTTTATTTTGTTTTATTTAATTTAAGTTTATTTTATATTTTATTTATTTAATTTTTCATTTGATTTATTTATTTTTATGTTGTTTTATTTATTTTATTTATTTTATTTTTTTATTTATTTGATTAGATTTTTTTATGTTTTATTTATTTTATTTTGTTTATTTTATTTTTTATTTATTAGATTTTTTTATTTATTATTTAATCTTATTTATTTTATTTTTTTATTTTATTTAGTTTATTTTGTTTGTTTTTTGTTTATTTAGTTTTATTTATAATGTTTATTTTATTTTTTATTTTTTTTATTACTTTTTTATTATTATTATTTGATTTTTTTAATATTTTATTTAATTTAGTTTATTTTGAGTTTTATTTATTTTAATTTTTTTTGTTTTTTATTTTATTTTATTTTATTGACATCTTTCATTCTTTCACTAAAAGAAAAAGAGTGTCACCTTTCCTAATTCGCCCCTTCCCTCCACTCCCAGAATCCTTTAGGAATGCCACGCTCGAGGGAATTAAAACCCAGACAATTTGTTTTAAAGAGATAAATAATCAGATTTACCCCCCTAAACGAGCCCCTTAACCTCTCTTTTAATTGATCTTCAACTCTGCAAATGATAATTAAAACATTTCGGAGGGGGTTGGGATACAGTAGAGGATTGAGTCGGGGGTCTGGGGATTTGCCAGTAGAGGAGTGTGTGTCTTTGATGATTTTTATCCACATGAAGACATGAAGCACAGTAATAGTGTTGTGACAAAGTGCTCAGTTCCTGTCTGAGCTCTCCAGACGTCAGACCTTTCTTCTTCCACGATGATACTTAGGTGCTCGGTGGATGATAATACGATCAAAATCCATAATGTAATGAAAGATGATATGACAGAGCCGTACTGCCTCACAGGAAAACATTTAGGCTGCAGCTATAAGAGTTTATTCGGGATATACAGTAAATGCAATGGTTTGTTTTGTTTTTTATGCCATTTTTTTACTTTACCTCGAATGCAAGTCAAAATTCAAGTCTGTCTTCTTTGTGTCTTACTCTTTTAAAGCGTTTCTAAGAACTGCAGAAGTTGCCACACTTTACACGCTTCAATGGACAGACAAGATCACTGACAAGCTCAGACTCTTTTGTATTTATTGTTTTCTGTACAGAATGAATGAGGTCAGCCGCGAAAGAAAACCTCTTCCTCTGTGTTGGGTAAAACTGTTTAGTCATCCATTGTTTAAAATGAGCTTTGTTTCCTGATTCACAACAGTTTAAGCATGTCACAATTCAAGTCTTATTGATAGTGTCATTTTAGAAGTAAACAAGATAAAACAGCCACCTTCATATGTTCTTGTATGATCTTTCGTTTGTTGAGTTCAAGTCATTAATTTTATACTAGATTTTAATATTTACGTTTTTAAAAAGTCTGTAAACAGATGTGTTCTGTATAATTTGCATTGATGATGCATTCTGTCTTAATATTTAGAAAAATTTTAATATATTATTTCTGAAATATACAGCTGAAGTTTTTTCTTTTTTTATATATTTTCCAAATGATGTTTAACAGAGCAAGGAGTATTTCCAGTAATATATTTTCTTCTGGAGAAAGTCTTATTTGTTTTATTTAGGCTGGAATAAAAGCAAAATTTTTTTAAAGCCATTTTAGGGTCAAAATTATTAGCCCCTTTAAACTGTATTTTTTGGTAGTCTACAGAACAAACCATTGTTATACAGTAATTTGCCTATATATATATATATATAATTTTATTTTTTTTTTACATATGAAGTTTTTAGTTACGATACTTCTAAAATCATTCAGTATAAAACCCAGATTTTTCACAATATTCTGTGCAGAAATAGCCAAAAATATCGTCAGATTCTGTCTGGCCCTTCTAATAGGGCATTTAATAGTGTATCTATAATAGGACATTTACCTTTTTAACATCCAATTATAGTTTCTGATTAAGCTTAAGAATTATACTTATTTTAAAGTGTTTATGGCTATTTACATTATTATGCTGTTATATAATCATTATGTAGTCAGTGGCATAAAATGATCTCGAAATGACAATAATATCGCTTATTGCAACAATTTCTGTGACTGCATCGCAAAACAAAAATGATCATGACTGGCCTAGTGTAGATCGAGTAATGCTGATAATTGGGCATAATGCAGTTTTACTGTTAAATAAAGACTAGACTTAACATTGTTTATTTCGACTAGCTTTTAAAATGTACAATTCCCACTACATTCCCCTCTGCAGATAAAATCACACTGCTGAAACTAAGAAGAAGAAAAAAAAACGGTGGCTCTTCACAGCTCAGCAGTATTGTGCCTGCAGCGTAGTTCATATGAAGGCCTGCTGTACTGATCTGCTGACGACCCTGATAAATAAACTGATAACAGGTGGGCTGTGTTTACTGTTTGCTCTTGGCGGGAGCAGGCCAGATGGATTTAGGAGCTTCCTGTTGTGGGAAACACTTGTTGCTCCAGGTGGAAGGCAGAGGCCGTGGTTCAGGGCTCAGCGCTAAAGGGCATGCTGTCTTTCTGAGACTCGATCAAAGACTTCCTGCCTGCGCATCCGCAGAGACGCTTAATTGACTATTGATTGGACACCATCGTGCTCTTTGATTGGCTTGCAGCTACTGCTACGAGAGATCACATGACTGCACTGATCGCACACTTCCTGTAGAAGTCATGTGAGAGTCAGTGCTGTGTCAATAAAACAACACGCTGCAATGGTTTTTTGGTGCTGAAGGGGAAGGCTTCTTTATTAGTTGTCATATTTTAGTGGAGAAGCCATTAATATTACATCAAGTATTATTATGGAGATTAATTACTCTTTAGCCTCTTTCATAAAAGTCCAATGATGCGTGAGCATGTTGTGTGTGTGTGTCTGTATCTCCGATATTTGCAGCTTCTGTATCCGCTAATGTGTGTTTTCTTCTTCTAGGTCGACGCTGGATGATCATTCTCCTCATAGTCACCCTCTCTACGGTCACGGCGTCTGCAAATGGCCAGGATGTGAAGCTGTGTTTGAAGATTTTCAGTCGTTCCTAAAGTAAGTGTCTGACACACACAAAAAATACAGAACGTGTGTTCCAATCGTGATTCTTTTGGAACTGAATACGGAATCAAATAATTTGGAAAGGATGCTATTAGATATTTAGTAGAGGTTCAGTGAAGTGCTTGCATTTTTGTTCTATTTGTGATGTAATTTTAACTGAAACATGAAGTCAGGACAGGACATATAGAAGCTCCTCCTCTTTAAAAAAAACAGCCAGTATTGTTTTCGTTTTTATCACAGATCTGCCAGTGAGAGTGGTTTAGATCAATAAATCAATAAATGAGAAGCGTTTTGTAAGGCAGGAACATTTCAGATGCTATAGAGCAGGGGTGGCCAACCCTGTTGCTGGAGATCTACCTTCCTGCCGATTTCAGATGCAGCCTTAATCAAACACACCTGCCTGTAATTATCAAGTGGCGTCAGGTCCTAATTAATAGGAGCTCCGGGGTAGGAGCTAAACTCTGCAGGAACAGGGTTGAGCACCCCTGCTGTAGAGCATTTGATAGGCCTGAAGATTTGATGAGAAATGAGGTAACGTCAAAAACCTTGGCTGCAATGTCGAATTTGCACATTTGAATTTAAATTGACTACTCGAACGTTATAAAAGTACGTTCTATACATTATGACTGTGAGTATAACTCAAATGTACTACATTCGCCATTTTGTCATCATCACGTGACCTACCTGCGTCAGTTGCATCACTCCCATTAATGAATTCTCTCCTGGTGCATCATGGGATACTGTAGCGTCCATCAGATGCACACTTCAAAATCCCTCCAGAAGTAGTAGGTCATCTGGATGCTTTCTTGCATACTGCTTTTCCAATGAATTTGGACATACTTCTCAGCTCGCATACTGTTTTGAGTATACTATATAGTTTGAAAATATGCAATTTCGAACGCAGCTAATGTTGATCTCTTAAATGGAAGTGACAAATAGCAAGCTTTGGATGTTTATATCTTCTAAATGCAAATTTCGTCACTTTTTGAACCCACTCAATTATAGATATCCTTAAAACATTCTGATACTAACACCTAGAAAACTTTATTTTGATTTTACCTGAACTTTACATATTCGCACAAAAAGATCCAAAGTCAATACAAACTTCGTGAATAGAGGTAAATTTGTATCTAGCAGTGTAAATGATGTGAAATCCTTGAAACACATTGAAATCACCTTTATCACGTCTTTCGTGCAAGTTTAAAATCAACAACTTGTGGGGAAAATTTGCATTAGGTGAAAAACATCCCACAAGTGATATCATGCTTTGCGTCTGGTGTGAACCCAGTATAAGAATCAAACGTACTGTAGATCCAAACACTTCATAGACATTTTAGATTTTTAAATTGATCTCATTAGAATCCTTTGGAACCTTTGAGATAATTTAGGATCATAAGAATAGCAAAATAAATCCTGTACACACTTTTTACGTATGATATGTCCCTATGAAGATGTCACAGTATTTTCAATCGCTCTCGTCCCAGTCATATTCTGTCTCTCTGTGTGGCCTGGGCTCTTGTGTGAAGCAGAGTGCTGCTCTCTGTGCTGTGGTTTTCATCAGGGTTCTGTGCTGTCTGTGATAACTGCAGTCCCCATGGTGATTACTGACACTTTGTCCCAAAACAAACATGTGGGGATGTTTGTCTGTGGTGGCCCACATTCTGAGAGTACAGCAGGTTTGCCCTTGTCTGCCTTTTTACAGACAAGAAGAAGAGTTCCAGCTCTTTTTCTCTCTCTCTCGGCTTAGGTCCCTCTTGTTTTTAGAAACATATTATTGATGCTTGCTGCTAATATTGTTCTTACATCCAGCAATTACCCAGAACATCTTAACCAGTCTTAGCTCAACCACCCACTACACATGGAAAAATCTAAATGTAAAAATTTTGATGAAAAACAGCCCAGTACATTCTTTTGGCTGTCATTATACCACTATTCAAATGTTTTGAAGTCAGAAACATCTCAGGAACGTTTTTTCTTTTTTACATTTTAAATAAAAGCGGTTCAATTTTGGATCCATTAAAGAAAAAAGGTATAACTGTGTTTACTTTTTTAATAAAGCAGCGTAATTCTTTTCATCATTGATATTAATAGGCGAATCGGTCTACTAAGACTGTATAGACGTGCTTAGGCTTCCAATATACTCATACAACATTTTATAGTAGTCATATCTTCTATTCAGCAAGGATGCAATGCATTTTTATGTGACATGCTGTACTGTGAAGAGAGAAAATTTTTGCAAACCTTAATTTGCCTGAAAACTAAATCTGCATCACCCATATGATCACCTCACTGGTTTTTACCGTCAAATCAATTAATCTTTATTTATACAGGGTGTCCATGGGGTCTTAAAAAGTATTAAAAGTTGATAAATCCATTTAGACAAATTTAAGATCCTGAAAAAGTATTAAAAAGTCTTAAATGCTATTTTACAAGGTATTATATTTTGTAATCATTTAATCTTTGAATATTAGAATTTTGTCTAGTTTTTCAGAAATCGCGAAAATCCTGCTAGATTTGACATCATGCTGTTTTGTTTACTGCAGTAACCAGGGAAACTGTTATTCCTGCTGTTCTATAGGCGCCACCTATTGGATTAGCATTTTTATACAGTATATGAATAATGTATTAGTTTACAATTAACATTTAGTAAATATACTAAGTTAAAATGTCGCAGATGAGGTCATAAAATGTATGGAGAGAGTCCATAAAGACTTAAAAGGGGTTAAATTTCATTCTCTGATTCCTGTATGTACCCTGTTATATAGAACGTTTACTATGTAGATTGTGTCAAAGCAGCTTAACATAGAAGTTCGTGTAAACTAAAACTGTCAGTCAAGTTTTCAGAATTAAAGATCAGCTCTGTGTGGTTTAATTTTCACTGATGAAATTCCAAACACTGAAGAGCAAATCCATCGATGCATAGCTCCACAAGTCCCAAAGTCCCACAAGGATCAAACTTATCCAATTGACGAAAGTGAAGAAGAAAAAAAATACCTTGAGAGAAACCAGGCTCAGTTGGGCACGGCTAATCCTTTGGTCAAACTTTTTGTGCAGAGCTGCAGTGTACTTCAACCAGTGTCTGTTCACCTGACCACTCAACTGAACGAAGCTTGACCTGCCCATGCTGCTAAAGTCCAGTACTTGCCAACACACAGCACCAGACTCCCTAAACAACACCTAAACCAAAGACCAGGCTAAAGGTGGTCAGTTGATCGCCCTGATCCCTGCTCTCACTTAATCTCCAGTATGTGTGTGTGCTGGAGATGAGATGATGGCAGCAGATCTGCGAGTGTGTGTTAGGCTGGATTAGTCCCACTCCAAACAAGATATGACACTGTTCCATTATCCCAGGTTCAGACTAAAGCAAGCCCCACAAGCCGAGACCAAGCTGAAAAACGAGTGGTAAGCAGAACCGCAGCTGCACTCCTACCGCTTTTCTCTATGTGTGTGTGTGGGTTTTTTTCCCCCTCTACTTCAGGGTCATAGCTTGTGCTTCAGACTGCAGGCTCATTCTGCCAGGTTTGTTTAAAAACAGTCTTGGCTCTGATAATATTATTATCTATTTAGAATCAGTGGAGAAATATATATGAAGAAGTTCACTAAGTGCTTAGAATGTTTTTCACAAAAAGAATTTTGTTGTGTAAATAAATAATGACTTTAATTAATTAATTACAATGACACCATGTTTAATTGATCAATATATTAACGTTTAAAGTATACATAAATATAAAAACCAAAGTAAATAGAAAGGTATTTTATTGTAAATGCATAATAAAATGTTAAGCCATTACAATAATATAACACTAAATAACATTAAGTAACCATTGCAGTACTAATAAAACCAAACCAGCTTGTCGGCGCCAATAGTTTAGTGGTTAAGTGCGGCAACACAAAGCACTGATGGCTCACGACGACCCAAGTTTAATTCCCAGCTCGAGGTCCTTTGCTGCTCCTTTCCCTCTCTCTCTCTCTCTCTCTCTCTCTCTCTCTCTCTCTCTCTCTCTCTCGCTCTCTCTCTTTGCTCCCAATGCATTCCTATCTGTAATCTCCACTATCCTGCCATAATTAAGGTGAAAGCCCCTAAAAATATATTATTAAGAAACCGGCTTCAAATGTCTGCAATTTGTTTGCAGAACAGACCATATTTGCCTTCTCTAGCAAAAAAATGGATGCCTCTACTTACTTTCTGCATGTACTGACCTATCATAAAGCTGTTTCAAATAATAGAGTACATAATGTATTGGCCTCACAAATTCACTTGTCAACTTATCATGCCTGTGGTTATTGGTGTCCAGGTTACAAACTGAGATGTCCAAAAACGATTCAAAGCACATGTGTGAGCTGCTCATATATCATGTTTCCTGTTAGAAAAATCATGCTGTGTGTGAACACTTTACAAATTACAACTGCAATACCTAAAGTTTACTATTTAAATGATAGTGTAATGTGAAGCGGATGCTGAGAAAGGAGTGCAGTTCCAAATGCAGGTTTATTAAGAATAGTCAAACAAGCAATAGTCAATACAGGGGCAAACAGATGTAAACAGGCAAATCCAGAGCCAAGGTCATACAACAGGCGGATGGTCAAAAGGCTGGCAGCAAGCAACATAAAACAAACAAAACAAAGCAAAGTTTCAAACACACAAGGAAAACATGTTGTAATGCACGTTGTAATGTTCCCAATCAGTATAAAAAGACTCAGCCAAGAGGTGTACATGTGTGCTGTTATATAGTCAATGTAATCAGTTCATGAGCAACTCCCAGTCATGAGTGTGTGCAATTAACAGAATTAGGAACAGGTGTGTGTGAGCGGTGCATGACTGGAACTTGTAGTCCATATACTGGGGGATTTGTAGTTCTTTAGTGAACTTTGTGTTTGCCAGCATCTGCAGCTGCTAGATTGCTGGTGATCATAACAGACAGCCAGTTGTTTTCTTTATATAAAGTACATTTATGAACCTTCCTGCAACCCTGAGTTCAATCAACAGCTTAGACGTTTAAGTAGCACCAAAATGAGACACTGCAATCTTCGTTCTGATTCAGTCCAATTTTACCCTTGAGTTTCTAGACTGTGGATCTGTTATGGTATGTTTTTGTATTGTGGTTGCCTTTTTTTCTGTTGACAAAACCCCTGTTTCATAATTTGCTTATTGAAACAGGAGAAATTAGCATTTCAGAGCTGCAAAAGAGCGAGCGAGAGAGAAGTGCTCTCTTTAAGTACACTCTGTGATGTTTACACAAGTGTTTTTATCATGGCAACATCTTGTTTACTTTTCTTGCCTGCCCTAAACTGCTTGGAACATGTTGAGAAAACATTCAGAGACGCTCTACAAAGCCGTCTTTGTAAAGAGCGAGGCTGGGTGAGAGTTCAGCTGGCACTCTGAAGGTGTTAACTGGCCATGTGCTAAACATTCCCACATGTACATCCACCACCCGAGCAACCATAAACACAATCCGGGAGTCAATTACCTGGATGATAAGCATTTTCTGGGTAGCTAAAGACACCGTTGTGCGGAACGCTGAGAGATGCTTGCTAACATCAAATACAGCTCCACTGGTTGAGCCAACAGAAACAACCGATGACGTGCAGTGGTGTTGTTTTAAAGCATACAGATATTTATTATGTCTTCAAATGAAAACATACCTAGTCGTGCAGGATGATAACAGATCTAATAAATAAAAAAGAAGCAGCGCTGGATTTGATGGGTGTTTTTCCTGTAGAACCGCAAGAGTGGGGCAGAGGTTTATGGAAGAGCTTGGACACATTTATAGGAGGTCAGGGGCATCTGTGACCTGGAATATTTGAGTGGTCAAATTCAGCAGTTCTGCCATCTAGTTGCATTAGCTTTTTGGCTCTAGGACAGTTGCTTTAGGGCAATAGTCTCAAACTCAATTCCTGGAAGGCCACAGCTCTTGGAGCATCTTTATCTCACACCTGCTTAATAGTCTCCAGTAGTCTTAAACATCTTGATCAGTTGGATCAGGTTAGTTTGATAGGGTTGGAGCAAAACTATGCAGATCTGCGGCCCCCCAGGAATCCAGTTAAGGACCAATGTTTTAGGATCAGGGGTCCAGGTAGGCCTTAAGATGAAATGAAATAAAATAATACAAACTTATTTTAAAAATGATTCCATTTTTTTAATAAAGAACCATGATTATCTTGGTCTTCTAAAAGCTTGGATATTTCAGAAAGGCTATTTATCCACTTAGTTTATTTAGTCCAGGAAAGTCATGTAAATTAAATAAATATAACTGCCCCATAGACATTTTTATATTATATAAAATATAATTACAATATGATTTAACCTGTTTCCCGGAAAGATCTGTAAATGAATAAAATGTCAATGCTCTCATTTTCATATTGACTATATATGTAAGCTTAATAAATGCTTGTCAAATGTTGAATAACTTTAACAACTGAATAATATCATGGCCATTGGAGTGTAAAAGGTTGTAAATCACCGCTCTGTGACAATCCTGTGTTTCAGTGTTTATCTTTTTTAAAATTCATATTGCTTTTTTATTTGAATACCGTTTTTGCTGTATTAGTCTTAGAACTGGTTTCTGCTTATGGTTACCTATCGCAAACAAGCATGTTGTGTTTTTTTTTTCCTTCTCATCCTGGATATTGTATTTACCCATCAAAGGCAAGCAGCATGAGTAAATAAAATCAGTAGATAAGCGTAATTCTTTTGCGTAAGGCAAGAAGATAAGGAAAAAGACATAGGGATGTTTAGCTGTTGAAACAGCTGCGCCTGTTTGGGAATAAACAATAGTTGATCCTGCCATCACTGTAATAGAAAGACCTTTCTAGGGCATCATTAAAACCTGGGCTAAAGGACAGCAAGCTTCAGTGATATGTAAAACGCTGACTGTTTAAGTAATGTCTATTTAACTTGTTTTATTGTGGCCATTTACATTAGGGGCTGTCATCCTGCCAGAAAGCTTTTAAACAGCCTTCGTTTGAAGTCCAGAAAGTGACACATGCCAGCGCTCATAGTCTCTCCCGACGTCAATTCTGCCGTTCTCCGGAGCTCCTCTTGTCCAGACACTCTTCCGAGAGGCTGCATTAAGGGCCATTTGAATATTTCATTTCCTATTAATTATGCACTGTGACTCTACATGTCATTAGACGGAATGGAGGAGAGGACGGGGGGAAAAAAGAAAAACGTCCACTGTAACAAAGGATGAAAAGAGGTAGCGGGGGCGAATTCCAAAGCATGTCACGTCCAGCCGCGCGTTCATTGAAAATGCGAGACGCCCTGTACCTATTTTATCTCTCGGCAAATGAAAACTGGGTGGTTGTTTTGAAATGTTTACATGATCCCTCTTCAACCTTCCCTGACTTCAAAAGCGCCTTGTTTTTAGTTGATTAATGTTGGAAGCCAGAACAGACACAATATCGGTTTAAACAAGGTGTGGATTTATCGCAGCCACGTTAAAACACTCGCCGTCCGTAATCCTTGTGTTGTTTTTATGAAACGAATCATTCAGAGTATCCCGTTCGCGGCGTGTCAGCGTTCAAAAAGGCACGTGGTATTTATATGCTCATTCTGAAGGAAAACAGAGTCTGTTTTGACGCACGTTTAGATCATTTCCCTTTCAAGGTTGAGTGCTCCACTTCCGAAGTCAAAACCGCTCTCCGTCACAAGTGTCGTCGAGTGTGTTTTCCACACACATGGATTTTGCAGCCATGCTCTCGTATGTTGTCTTTATTCTTAATAATGGCGCCGCTGCCATCATGTCACGCCACCTCGCCAAATTTATGACGCCATCAACATCAGCTCTGGCTCCCCTTGTCTCGGCCCCTGCTCAGGTCCGGGCACGACACTTTGATTTGCGACAGAAGACTGTAAACGTGCATTTGGGGAGACGAGCACGTGGAAAAACGCTCCTGCGCCTCTGCCTGGTGACAGTGACCTACATGGTCAGCGGAGATGCGATATAATTTATGATATATATAATATATTGGATCCATTAGCGGGCATAATGAAGTAGTGAAATGAAAGGGTATTTGTGAAATCAGTTCAAACATCCTGCACGGATTATGATTAAATGATTAATGAAATGCCCCTGCATAAGCATTTTCCAACCATAATTCATGCGAGGGCTGATAAAAATCCTCCAATCATATTTCCTTCACTCGTGAGTCTTATCTCCACCATTTTATATAAATCACCACACAAAAAAAGTGAGGTAAAAAAAGGAAAGCTTGGCCCGCTTTGCAGAGGCCAGCTACTTATTTAGATTAGTTATAAACGTGCGGGGGAGAAAAAAAGGGTCTTGGCGGTATAAAATAATCATGCGTAATTATATTCATAATTCAAGTTTATGACAGATTCCATCTCTTTTCTCCTTGTTGTCCTTTGCCTTTTTCCTCCTGGCTTCATTTGAGTTCTCTTAATCTAGATGACATAATTAACTACAGAAGCCACCGAAAATACCAAGAATCCATTTAATTTTGAAAGCAGGGAGGGTTAGAAGTGCACATCAGCCGATTTATAATATCAATTTTTTTTTTTTTTTTTTTTTTTTTTTTTTTTTTTTTTTTTTTTTTTTATACCTGGGTCTGGCGAGGTGCTTCTCTCGTCTGCTCAACTTAGTTTCTCTATAGGTTTGTGAATTATGCATGAGGTGTGTAGAAAGAGCGCTTCTATTTCCGGTAAATGCTGAGATCTTGTTAGGACACTCTTCATTTGTGTTTGGGGAATTTGATATTTGTGCGTGTGTGTGGACATTGGCTTTATTTACTTTTTATCATTTTAGCGTGCGCATATCTGGGGCCGTTTTCACTTTTCCAATATAGAGAAATAAATGACTGCCCTGCAGAATGTGCAGATAATGTAATTCAATATTTTACCATGAAAGTTTTATCAAATGTTTAATAGATGGCTGTAAAATATGGTACTAAAACGAAGGCTGCTCTCTCTCTCTCTCTCTCTCTCTCTCTCTCTCTCTCTCTCTCTCTCTCTCTCTCTCTCTCTCTCTCTCTCTCTCTCTAGACATCTGAATAATGAACATGCATTGGATGACAGGAGCACGGCGCAGTGCAGGGTACAGATGCAAGTAGTTCAACAGCTGGAACTGCAGGTAACATCTCATTTCTCCTAGTTCATCCATTTCTAGCTTTCATTGCAACTTTTCTACTACTCTCTCTCTCTCTCTCTCTTTTTCTCGCTCCTCTGCTCTCAAGTAGCAGCTCAGAGATAAAGGAGGGAGGGATGAAATGAAATTATTTTGTACATTTGTGAGTAACCAGTCATTAAAAATGTGTTATGTTCGCATGACAGCCAGGCAAAGATATATGGAGTGCCCTTAGGCTAATTCCACAAGATAATTACATTTCCAATTTTACTGGGTTTTAAAGTCGTTTATGACTTTTAACTATTTGGCACCACAATAAAACACTTTGTAAAAAAAACCCTAACAATGGTGGGTGTACTACCAATCATTTCAATGAATTGATCGACTTGTTTTGATTATTGTATTTCATTGCTTGTTAAAACACATTAATCATGACAGATACCTACAGAATGACATTGCAGAGCTGGACGTGTGTGGAAAACTCTGATATTAATAAAAAAAAATATTCGCTGGAAAGAGTCAGAAACACTTATGACCATGGTTATTCTATATATTGTGATAATTAACATATACAATATTGATATTATGGACATTTATCTATTTTTTAAACTTCAATAGTGCCTTTTAAGAATATTGACATCGTATTTGCCGTAGTGCTCATAACAGTGCCAAATTGGTTAATTAGTTGAATACTTCAAACTTGGGCTGAACGAACTGAAAAAAACTGACATTGCAATGTTTTGTTTTTCTGCGATATGAATATAATTTCACAAGATGACTTAAATAGCTCAATTTGATGAATTTGGAGAACAGATAGTCTGCATAAAACAAACAAATGGAGAGTCTAACTGTAATGAGGTACAGAAATACAGGTTAATCAAATGTTAATAACCAACACTGCATATATATTCTTCATTGTATAAAAAGTAACTCCTATTAATACAATTCATTTATCATAATTATTCTTTGATTAAAAACTACAAACGCTATATATTCTTATTAGTGGTGGGCCGTTACCAGCGTTAACGTGAGACTTTTATCGGGTGATTAAAAAACTATCGCCGTTAATCTATTGTCAGAGTTGGGTTGGGAGCTGGTTCTGTTCTACACAAGCTATGATGACTTTCACCTTGATATTTTAGTGTGCATGTATATGTTTACTTCAATAATGCCACTAATATATGCTTACTCTATGTCTTAATTCCATTTCTGTTTAGTTCAGTTATGACTTTAGTCAGATTAAGGTGATTAAAAATCACTGTTTCGAGCTTATGTAGGCCTACAGTTTAAAATTCTAGTTTAACTGAATAAACAGTTAGTAAACACATCTTATTAAGCATAATTTATTTTCATCAGTAATTATTATAGTAGAACAGTTTCTCAAGCAGTTTGTGATGCATTTTGGAAACAGGAGATGAGCCCCTGGTCTAATGCGCCACCTGGCTTGAGAAACCTGTTCTCAAAGACTTACTTTTAGTCATTATTTGGTAGCACACATATTCCAAATGCCTTCAGCAGAATTCAAATGAGCCATTTTAATCTAGAATAATTCCTAGATTACAGTGAAATTATTCTAGATTAAAAAAAATTTAACTATGCCCACCTATAATTCTTATACACAAATGGTTTTAATACACTTGAAATTTCACACTCATAGGCTTTAAAACAAAGCAAACAAGCTAATCTTCACATTCAATATTGTGATAATAATACCATATACCGTGATAACAGCTTCAGCAATTACAAGACAACAAGAAGATCTGAAATCATCATAAGCCTAGTTACAGTTCACACATTGATCTCTGCTTCTCATGCTGACAATTTGAGGTCAAACCCAGCTCTATTTTTAAATTTGTATTTACATGGTGCACAGGAGGAAAATTTACCCCAGGCTTTAAAAGTGCAGTGATCATTGGTTTTCTTCAAGCTCAACTGTCCACCGCTTGATAGTACAAACATCAGAAAGCCTTTAATGCCTTAAACTGTCATGATGTCTTTAAACGTTTCTTCTCTTCTGGACCAAAGCAGAGAAAAGGAGATTTACAGGCCCACACATATAGATCCAGAAGTAGTAGCAGCTGACGTGAGCACAAATAGACTGTGTTTCCCAAAAGGGATCGTAAAACGAAAGGGATAGTAGAAACCACTGGCCCTTACTTTTTTGTATGAAATGCAGCCTACATCAAGGGTGTGTGGAGATTCTCTAATGTTCATTGTGGATTCATTTTGGATGAAGCCACATTATGACTGAGAGCTAGAGTTTCATTCTCAGTGACTATTAAAACCTTAAGGCCCAGATATACTGTAGAAGAACGAACTAGTGTTTGACATCATTTAGTAGTATACTGCAGCTCAAATATTTCAGCCAATTACCTTTAAATGTAGAATGCAAAAAAAATTGTTGGAACCAATGATGTAGCATTTAGTCTATCGACACTACCTATTTTACCCCTTTTTACAAGATGTCAAATAAGTCTCTAATGGCCCTAGAGTGTGTATATGTGAAGTTTTAGATCAAAATACACAACATACAATGTTTTATAACTCTTCGAATCTGCTGTTTTAGGCTCTAATCCAATTTGTGTCATTTTGGTGACCGTCACTTTAAATTCAACTGAGATTGTGCTCCCAGCCCCATTTTGAAAAAAGGGCAGAGCAGAAATGCCTATGTGTTAGTATAGCAGCAGATTCGAAACGGCTGCTTCTCGCTCAGGGCTGTCTATGCTAATGAGGGAGATATTGTCACTAATGGGCGGGGCTTTTTGCATAATGGGTGATTTTTGCATAAGTCTCCTTGAAGGTTGTGTATCAAGTGTAAAGGTCATGTACAGTATGTCATATACATTTATGTCATGTTTTTTTTCCAGGAGAGATTATTTGTTCTGAAAGAAAATGTTAAATGTTGAAAAAAAAAATGTTTTTCTTTTTTCTTCTGATTACAGTTAGCAAAAGACAAAGAGCGTCTCCAAGCCATGATGACCCATCTTCATGTGAAGTCTACAGAGCCCAAACCCACCCCACAACCAGTAAGTATCGCTCCTGACATCTTCACTTAGGCCCACACATAATGTGTGCGTGCAGATTTCCGTAGTTTTTTAGCCTATTATTGAGTTATTATTGATTTACTTGTGTAAATGTGTGTAAATTTATATTTGTATAGTTTTTGTATTATATTCAGTAATATTATTGACTAATATGAAAGTGTTCTTTTGATTTATTTACAACACAGTTTGTAAAGTAATATTTTCTTTCTTTTAGTGGATATAAGAGAGACTTGCTTTGTTTACCAAATAAGTGGATCTAATTGGATTTGCATTGTAAACATTAAATAAAAGTTAAAAAGGTATTAGTTTTTTATTTCATATATTAAGTTTTTAGTTATGATACTCCCAAAAGCATTTCGCATAAATCCAGATTTTTTACAAAATTCTCCACAGAAAAGTCAAAAAATGTCAGCACATTTTGTTTGGCCCTACTTATGTCCCACAATATTGCAAACAAATATTTAGCACACACCAGATGAAAGTATTTTTAAAAATACCACCATATTTTCAGAATTATATATGGCGCTTGATCTGAAATCAGCTTTGACATATTCCAGAGATGTAATACAATTATCATCAAGCAAGCAAAGTATTTATTAGAGATTGGGGCCAAATTAGGAAAGTATTTGAGTCATTTTATAGTGCATTTCACATTTGTGTTTTGTTTTATGCTTAGATATTCTTATTCCTTTTGATATTCTGAGTTCTATTAATTGTAAAGGAATTGTTGTGGAGTGATGAGAACAAAAATACATGTTTGTCATGGATATAAATGTTTCATTTTACAGCCACTGTTGGCCTATTCTATTTATTTAAAAAAAATAAAATTATGAAATGCAACTTCATCTATTTTCCCCCTCCCAATGCAATTTTGACACAATTTTCTGGAAAATACAGTACATTAAATATGCATAAATAATATACCTCCTCTGGTGGAGTATGCATTTGTACATGCTTTTTTTCTTTTTTAAAAATGTTCATTCATTTTTGGCTTTTTTTTGTTTAATAAAACTTGACATGGAGCATAAAAAAGTAGTTTTTCAATTAAATAATTTAAAAAATGCAAAGAAAAAAAGAAAAAAGAATACACAGACATTGTTGTAGATCTCGATCATAATAGTTACATGCTTAATGAAAAAATATAAATGTATTAACTTTTATTTGGGATTTACTCTCTTCTCCCACATTCCTACTTTCAATTTTTTAAATTAAAGCAGATCATAATTCATGGAAAACAAGATTTTTAAATGGTGATCGCTCACTCTTCAGTTTGCTGAGCACGCTGATCATTTATTTACTGCTCAGGGGTCCCGTGGTGCTCCGGAGCCCCGAGAGGGTGTCCCAGGACAGCAGGTGACAATAGTTCATTCAGTGGAGCTTTGCTTCTGTCACACGCTGATTGTTTGGATTAGCATTTGTACAGGGGTGTCTGACAAGGCAACACTTGTGTTGGAAAATCAGTCTCAGAAGCTGATAGTGTTGTTAGCCTCCTCTTGGGACTGAGGGCAAGTAGAGACACTTAAAAAATAAATAAATAAAAAACACAAAAATTGTGTATGGTTTTCTGTCAGAAACTGTAATTTAAATTTACAATGATTTAAAAAATGTTTAACAATATTATACACCCAAATGGCCATTTTATTAGGTACACCTCACTAGTACAGGGTTGGACCACCTTTTGCCTTCAAAACCGCCTTAATCCTTCGTGGTATAGATTCAACAAGGTACTGGAAATATTCCGCAGAGATTTTGATTATATTGACATGATAGCATCACACAGTTGCTGCTGATTTGTCGCCTGCACCTCCATGATGCAAATTGCTGAATTGTCGCCTGCACCTCCATGATGCAAATTTACCATTCCACCGTATCCTAAAGGTGCTCTACTGGATTGAGATCTAGTGACATGTTCAAGAAACCAATCTGAGATGATTCATGTTTTATGACATGGCACTTTTTCCTGCTGGAAGTAGCCATCTGAAAGTGGGTACACTGTGCGAATTGTAGCCTCAGTTTCCTGTTTAGTTGACAGTAGTGGCACCCGGTGTGGTCTTCTGCTGCTGTAGCCCATCTGCCTCAAGGTTAGACATGTTGTGTGTTCAGTGACGCTCTTCTGCATACCTCGCTTGTAACGAGTGTTTATTTCAGTTACTGTTGCCTTTCTAACAGCTTTAACCAGTCTGGCCATTCTCCTCTCACTTCTGGCATCTAAAAGGCATTTGCGCCCACAGAACAGCCGCTCACTGGATATTTTCTCTTTTTTGGACCATCCTTTGTAAACCCTAGAGATGGTTGTGCGTGAAAGTCCTAGCAGATCAGCAGTTTCTGAAATACTCAGACCAGCCCGTCTAGCACCAAAAACCATGCCATGTTCAAAGTCACTTAATTCACCTTTCTTCCTCTTTCTGTTGCTCGGTTTGAACTGCAGTAGATCGTCTTGACCATGTCTACATGCCTAAATACATTGAGTTGCTGCCATGTAATTGGCTGATTAGAAATTTGAGTTAACAAGCAGTTGGACAGGTGTACCTAATAAAGTGGCCAGTAAGTATATTTTAAAAATGTGAACTTTAGTGTTTTGGCCAACAATATTGTTGCTCTTAAAGTCTTGATATTATTTTGCAAATGTGGTTGGTTTAAATTAGTGCTGTCAAAAGATGAATTCAGTAATCACATAAAAACAAAAGCTTGAATGTGTAAATGCAATGTGTGTGTTTGTGTGTGTACTATGCATATTTGTTTTGTATTCAAAGTGTATATAAATACCCACATGTATGTATATATTTGAGAAAATGTTCAATTATTTTTATAAATTAAACATTAATATCTAATACAAATTGTAAATATATTAGTAAATATTTTGGTTTTGTATTTTTATATATATATATATATACACAATATTTATGAAGTGAGTACACATACATCATATAAATACAAACTCTTGTTTTGGATACAATCAATCATGATTAATTGTTTAACAGCAATCGTTTGGCTGATTTTGAAATGTGTCTTTAGATTTAGACTGCAATTTTACTTATAAACAAATTGTTATTTTTTTTGTTTTTTTTTGCGGTCTTAAACTGCTCATTAGTCTTGCTTCAGTGACATTTATATTTATCAACAGCTCATTTTAAGAGATGTTTTGCCTCAGGCCATGGTTGTTTATGTGTTTGTGCGTGCACGACTTCACCAATGAAGGCGTCACTAAGCATTTTTGTCAGTACTCTTGACCTTTTCATCGTCCATAATTAAATGGCACTTTTTTCTGTTGTTGTTGTTTGTTCAGCTTTTTATAGCAGTTTGTTCTCTGTTTTTCATGGCAGCTCGGCAAGTCAAAGCCAGCATAATTAGATCAACAATTATCATTTAATTATTTTCATTCTGAAGTCTCATTTTGTGAGCTTTCTGGAGAGCACCCGAATGGTAGGAAAACAAAAGAAGGGCCATTATTCGCCTGCCTGTCCAATCGTAGAGGCTACTCGCTGTTTGTGGGTGAGGAATATGGAGAAAAGAGCTTGCTAATGTGCACTAAGGTTGAATATATCCATACTATATAAAACCTCTGACCTGGTTCAGGAATATAACTGTAGATGTGTTTCAATGTCAAGGAAAAGCTGATACTTGGCACAAATAGGTCTAATATGTTCAGTATTTAGGATTAACATGAAAACATTGCATTGAATTTTTTATTTAAAATATTTAAAAACAGCGTTAGTTAAATTTAACAACCATTTTGAGCATTTTAGAATTATTATATTATAGTATATTATATTATAATATATAGTTTTTTATTGTAATTTATTTAATTATTTTAAATTATCATTTTAATTGTAATAAATTGTTATTTTTATTATTTTAAATTATTAATTTATTTAGATTTCCATGGGTTCTAATAAACAAGTCTAAGAATTAACATTGTTTGAAAACATTTCTTCCTGATTCTGATGCTCGGTTTGAACTGCAGCAGATCATCTTGACCATGTCTACATGCCTAAATGCACAGGTGTCAAACTCAGTTGCAAAAGGGCTGCAGCTCTGCACAGTTTAGTTCCAACCCTAATTAAACACACCTCATCAAACTAATTGAGTCCTTCAGGCTTGTTTGAAACCTACAGGTAAGTGTGTTGGAGCAGGGTTGGAACTAAACTGTGCGGGGCTTCGACCCTCCAGGAATTGAGTTTGACACCCCTGCCTTAATGCATTGAGCTGCAGCAATGTGATTGGCTGATTAGAAATTTGAGTTAACAAGCAGTTCGACAGGTGTACCTAATAAAGTGGCTGGTAAGTATATTTAGAAATGTGCCGTTTAGTGTTTTGGCCAACAATATTGTTGCTCTAAAAGCCTTGATATCATTTTGCAAATGTGGTTGGTTTAAGTAAGTGCTGTCAAAAGATTAATCTTGATAAAAGCTTATTTGAATATTTGTTTTTTATACATAGCGTATATAAATACACACATGTACTGTATTTATTTGAGAAAATGTTTACTTATATTTATAAATTAAATATTCATATTTTATACAAATGATAAATAAAAATATATGTAAATATTTAGGTTTTGTGATTTAACATTATATAAAAACATTAGAGAAATAAGCATTTTTTTTTTAATTAAATGTATGTATTAGATGTATTTCAAATAATTTTGAACAATTAAAAAGATAAAAGTTGCAAAACATTTTTATTGTTTCAATATTTGAAAAACACTTTTCATCTTGGACCCATATATAGTTATTGTCAAGTATTTTAATTTATTTAGTTTATTTTAGTACTTTATCTGAGAAAAATAATGTTGAAATGAAAAATAGCACATATTTTTAATCCAAATTCTTAGATATATAAAAGCCATATTTAACATATGACTCAAAAAAAAAAAAATGTCCTAACAAGTATTTTATTTTACAAATAAATCCTATTCACTACACAATTTTGTATAATCCTTAGAGTGATATACAAAGTAGCCAAAAATGAGAACCTGTAATATATAGTATTCTATAAAACAAAAACAACAAAAAAAGAACAAAAAACTCTTACACATGCATGAAGACAATAGCGTGTCAAGGATGATGCCTCTGTCAGCCTTCACATTTCTTTATTATGTACCTGTCCATCAAGCGGAGCATCTGTATGGTAATGACCGTTAATAGTGTGTGTAGTAATTGCGTGGCCTGCGTGGTATCCGCGTGGCGGGGGGTTAGATGTTAAACACTGTCTGTTGCTTTTCACTCGCCTCGTCGCCGTCTGCACTGTCAGCCGCGCCATTATAGAGCAAAATTAGACATCTGATACCTCCAAAGCAATTGACAGCCTTGACATTTCATTAATTCGCTCACCCAATCTGTAGGCGATTGTGGTGTACGAGACAAAACCAGAGCGTTCGTCAATATATACCACCCTCCCAGCCAAGTCATGTTTAATTTGGTAACAAGGCCTCCTTTGGCAAATTAGCAATTAGAATAATTTGGTGCTGGAAGTATGTATATGTGTCATTAGCTCGTTTTTTTTTTTTTTTTTTTGCAAATGAATAGCAGGAGCATTGGGTCAGGCTCGCTTTTTCTACTTCAGCTGAAGTGGAAATCTGACACTGACGACTTGACATGATTGAGACTGAACCTTTACTAACCTGCTGGTTAATTAGTTCAGCTTATAGCCATGATTACTAGCCTCCCCACATCGATAAGGGAGGACGAAAGGATTTCTCTAGAAACTATTTCACCATCTTATGCCAAACCGCCGGGCTGATGAGGGTCATTGAGACGTGGCGTTTAGTCATAGTGTCACCCCTGTATAGAGCCACTAATTAGGGTCCTTACAATACAATTTGTCTGAATGATTTCTTGAGTTGGTTTGTTTCATTTGTTTTGATTTTGTAATTCCCACAGTTCTCAGTGTTAATTCTAATTAGATTTTATACTACTGTATGTAATGACTGTCATGTATTACATTCACATATTATTTTCAGTCAATCAGGGATCAGTGCAATAAAATAGTTGTATGATTTGTGGATATAGAGTCTATACATGTAAAGTCTATTAAGTCAAAATTATATGTGAAATTTACGTTTTTGTTAAAATATTACCCAATTGCTGTTTGAGGGATTTTTCCCTCACATTTTGAAACATAACCGTTTTAATAACTGATTTCTAATTATTATAAAAAAAATTTTGCCACAATAACAGCACATAATCATATATTTAATTTAAAATAATATTTAATATAAAATATTAGATATTTCTGAAGGGGACAAATAATATTAACCTCAAAAATGCAGCCAAACTAAAACAATTAAGTGCATTCAACTAGGGATGCTCCAATCAGGATGTTTGGAGCCGAGACCAAGTACTGATTCCTCTTCATGATGATCATCCAATACAGAGTACTGATTCTAATACTTCAAGCGTTATACAACTTTAGCATTGCATAAAGTACATTTTCCCTTAAAGTATGATACTTGAGTAGAGATCTCTACTTTCCTAAGAGACTAAATGAAGGACATTTTGCATATAATCCCTTAAACACGTCTCTTGACATGTCATGGTCAGAAGTAGCTTTACAGAAAATAAAGATAAGACAGATAAAAAAATTAGTAAGAAAAAATGACTAACTATAGAATTGGCAAACATTGCAAATTATGGAAGAAGAATTCAACTTGTCTCAATGAAGAATAAGTTTGAAGTGCATATTTGATGCACAAGAAGTTAAAATGGATCTTCTTTTGCTTGTAAACCTGTAAACGAACACTTGTCATCGGCAGGATTAGCGAGTATTGATCAAGTCATAAGATGTGATTATCGGCTGATACCAATCTCCGGCTGGTAGTTCGGAGCATGCATTCAACTGTACTGTGTAATTCTGAATACTTATAATTAATCATTGATTTATTTACTTCTATCTTTATTACATGATTCTTTTTTTTGTTTGTTTGTTTGTTTTTTTGGTATTATATATTTTTTCACATCATTTCATGACTGAAATATATCTGGATGTATTTATTTAAAATGTTGAAAAACAACCTTTTTACAAGTTAAAATAGAATTAGTATATTACATTTTAATTATATTTTATTATTTTATAATATATCATATTATAGTTTTATATTATATTATGTTAAATTATGTTATAATTGTTATGTGTATTTTTGCAATTTCATGACTGAAATAAATCTGAATGTTTTTATTATTGTTATTATTAATGTTATTATTGTTATTATTTCCTTCTTTTTGTACCTTCCGTTATATGTTTCACAAATCTTCTTCAAATATAACCACAAATACAGAACTGTACATAGCAAAAGAGTTAGTTTGCCTTATAGCCACAATTACTAGCCTGCCCACATCAATAAGGGAGGACGAACGCATTTGTCTGGAAACTATTTCACCATCTTATGCCAAACCATCGTGCTGATGAGGGTCATTGAGATGTGGCATTTAAATCGCAGTATCACCCCTGTAAGTAGCCACTAATTAGGGCCCTTACAATACAATTTGAGGCTGTAATTAGTGCAGATTGACCTCTCTCTGTCTGCGGCTTATTAGGAGCCTCTTAGGGCTCGCAGAGAGAAACTCATTCCATCAGCCAGCAAGATCCCAACGCAAAGAGAGCGAGCAAGGCATTCTGGGTGCTCGCCAGCAGACCAAACAAACCAGGCGGCCGGTGGGATGTGCGCTATTTACTCGCAGAATGATGGACGGAACACGATAGCACAGTGTTTACAAATATTTACTAACCAACATGCCACCAGTGCTCCTCAGAGCGGCAGAGATTGATTGGATGGTGTGGGAACAATTAGCATCCACAGGAATACGCTGATGACTAACAATGCTTTTCTTTTTCAGCTGAACCTGGTTTCCAATGTCACTCTGTCCAAGACGGCTCCAGCAGCCTCGCCGCCCCTCAGTTTACCCCAGACGCCCACCACCCCAACGGCCCCTCTCACGCCACTGTCCCAAACCCACTCGGTCATCACCCCGACCAGCCTGCACAGCGTTGGCCCCATACGCAGACGCTACTCAGACAAGTACAACATGCCCATTTCTCCAGGTACAGTAAGGAGATAAGATGGTTATTGAGTCAAGCTCACAAAAATATAGCCAATTCTATAGTCACACAAAATATAATGAATATTATTTATAAAAGTCAAAAGGATAATATTTATTTTGCCATTGTAACATTATTTTATTTTATGGGAGTTTTTCCAAATTTACATTAAAGGGATAGTGAAATGAAAAATAATCACCTCATCATTTATACCTTTATTAGTTTCTTCTATTGAACACAAAGGAGATATTTTGAAGAATGTTGGTTGCCAATGACTTCCATAGCAGGAAAAACAAAATACTGTGGAAGTCAAGCTACCAGCATTCTTCGAAATATCTTCTTTTTTGTTCAAAGGTTTTGAACAAATGAAGGCGAGGTTTTATTTTCTGGTGAACTATCCCTTTAAAGTAAAATGTTTTAATGTAACTTTATTGCAAAGTATTTTCTTTATTATGTTACTTTTATCTATTATTTGAATAATTCATTTATGACTACAATTCAATTGTTCTCTGTGTTGATTAGATTAGATTCTCATTAGATTCAACTCTTAGTAGTTGTGTCCGCTCTTTTTTTTGTCTACAGATATTGTTCAGAACAAAGAGTTCTACATGAATGCTGAAGTACGACCTCCCTTCACGTATGCTTCGTTAATACGACAGGTAAAAGCCTCAACAATTCAGTGCAGCTGCAACTTTTAAACCACTGCCATTGCAGACAATACATTTCAGATGCAATTGAATAGCAGAGCACAAGATTAGTCATCTGCAAATTAGCATGTGAAAATGTAAAATATACAAGTTCCATAAACACCTCAGATTTAGTCAATGTCTTATTTAAATGTCTAATGGCTGCAGGTATAAAAACCAGTGTTGTTTACTTCTACAGCTTGACATTAAAAACCTGCAACTAGAAGGAAGGAGCTGAAACTGAAAAGTATAGGGGATGAGGAGTGTCACTTAAAATTTTATTTGTAATTCTCTTTAGCCGCCGTACAGTACACAGGCTAAAGATTGGCTAGTGACACCCCAGTCAGCTTACTGGACCACTTAACTGTTTGATTCAGTGTGTTTTCTTAACAGAAAGATTCCCAAACCATGACACCAAGGTAAAAGTGTATATTTAGTGAGATATACTGTCACTTCCAATCTACTTAGTGAAAAAAGCCAGAAAAAGCGTCATATTTGTGTATTCATTGTATGAGAATGAGATATTACAGATTTTTCACCCCCCCCCCCCCCCCCCCAAAAAAAAAGAAAACTGTAATCCTTTACTCGACATTTATTTGTATATTTTGTATTCACCTCAAAAGGAAAGTCATTCAGTAACTGTATGTGGCAAACAGACCAATATTTAAATCATTATTTTCATATAATCTTGCCTAATAAAAAAACTGTCTAATTTATTCCAGCACATTTCCGAGCCCCAAACCCCCATCATCACAGCCGTTAAATTTCAGATGCAATTGAACAGCAGAGCTCAAGATTAGCCATCTGCAAATGAGCGTGAGAGCACTTGCTGTTCAAAAAAGCCCATATATAACAATTGCTTTTGATTAAGTATTACAGCCAATGTGATTATTACGGAATTCATTTCACACAACAGTAGGAACGAGGCTTTTTTTGAGATGCCCAGTCAATTATCAGGCCTGAACCGGTAATCTGTGATCACACGGGCATTAATCTGGGCCTGCAATAATTGCCGCTTTATAATCTGCCTCTATAAAATAGTGTGTTTTTTTTTTTTTTTTCTCCTCTTCTTGTTCTGGTCGTTTAGCGGAAAAGGATGTACTCAAATTGGCACATTTGCATAAGGAAGCGTTCAGTAAACAAAGTAGCTCCCATTTGAGAACGGAAAAGCGTGGAGCTGTTTTACATGCAGCCTCTGATCAACTTTAACATGACATTACTATGTGCATCTCACTTTGTTTTTGCTCCAGGTTTGAACGGAAACGAAATAGCTTTTTTGCTTATCAGCATTTGTGTGTGTGTGTTTTTCCAGGCAATACTAGAGTCGCCAGAAAAACAGCTAACACTAAACGAGATATACAACTGGTTCACGCGAATGTTTGCATATTTCAGACGCAACGCAGCAACGTGGAAGGTGAGCTCACGATTATGGTTTTATATGTATATTTGTAATTATATCCAATGAAGTTTGAATTGACTGAATAAAAGGCACTGAATGAAGCAGAAATAATATAGATAGTTTATATGTAAGTTTTTAATTATTTAAAATATAATAATGGCTCATTTCCACTGACTGGTACAGTATGGTACGGTATGGGTCGGTACGGGTCACCTTTATCAGGCTTGCGTTTCCACTGCCAAAGGGGTACTAATAGTATAACAGAAAGTTTCAGCGACAACATTCTCACTTGAGGAAGTCTTGCTCAAAGTAAAGCTCTACAGGTCATTTAAATATCATATGAGAAGCACTTCTCACAAAACAGATGCACACATATATACACATAAATACTTGTATATAAATGTTCATTACTAACCTTGAACATGATTATATAAAAAATAAATAAATAAAAGCAACATATATGAGCGCACAGACCCTTACAGTCTCAGATATGTTATCAATTACAGAAAAAATACACACAGCATACATTTAGTTCAAAAACAACATATCACCTCTACAGTCAGTGCAACCTCTCATCTGTATCTTTAATCTTCACCAGCACATGTAACCTCTGTTAGAAAGTCATTCTGAATTCATAAGTCCAAAAAGTGATGCCAATAGTTAAACATGGCAGTTTGTTCATGGTTTATGTTGCTGAAAGAGTCATTTGCTCTTTTTTTTTAGCTTCTTTGTTTTATTGAAGAAGCACTTTAATAATCAAGCACATGTTATCATCATGAACTCAAAAATTTCGTTATTTTAAAAATAGACGCGCTGCGAGCTTTCTGGAGAAAGTGAAACCACTCGCACTTTTAGACGGCCTCGTAAAACAAAAACAGGATGAGGCAGATTTTGTTCTTACAGTCTTTGTGGTTGTTCATCAAGACAACAACAAGGTTTGTTTGAGGTCGGGATGACCAAGGCTTGTTATTATATGTATATAGTATTAAGATGTAATGTCTTGGCTGTGTATTTAAAAAGGGCGCTTCCTTTGTTTCCATTTTCCTGGCTTGTGTATGCGCTAGTAACATTTCTCTGTAAACCAATAGTTCCATCTCCATCTAGCTCCGCCTTTTGGTACCTTTTTGTTGTGCCAGGTACCCTTTGCAAAGGGTACCTAAAAAGTGGTACGGTACGGTTTGCTTTTTGGTATATTTGACAGTGGAAACGGCCATAAAAGTGTGCCGAACGGTACTGTATTGTACCACTCAGTGGAAAAGGGCCATTAAATTATGTATAATCACTTATTCTTATATATTTAAGTATGCTAATGCATTCCAACAAAAATATTTGACATTATTTTACCCATGTTTTATCTCAAATGTTATTTATATTACTTATATTCATATTATTATAAGTTAATTTGATATATATTATAAATCTTTTTTTAAACTTGGCAAATAAATAGTTATAAATTAACAATGCAACCATATTTTTGACATTTCCCATATGAAACATTTTATACAGTCCGATGTTTTTCCTTCCAAACTGAAATTACCAACTTTTTTATCTTCACTCAACAGTTATGTTGCTTATATAATTTATTATTTTTTTTTAAATATGAACTTGGATACATTTAAAATGCAAAGCAGAATCATTTTACTAGCATTCTCAGACTTTCAGACGCCATATTATATTTTAGTATTTCAAACAAACTATTATACTGACAAACATTTTCTTTTCTCAGATATTAATATTTCACAATGTAATGAGCGCTTCAAAAAAGTCAATTATTCCAAACACCAGCAGCACCTCAGAGATGCCAACAGACATCATGCAGTAGTTTATACCATTTTGCCCAATGACTTTTAGTCAACAAGTTTAAATGACCCAGAGAAAGTATGCATTCCACCCCAAATATGATTTATTTCACTTAATGATGCTTGGAAGTTTCTGGAAGAGACCCCCTCTTCATTTCAATTTATTTTGAAAGTGTTTTTTCAGTTTTCTCTGGATGAATTTCAACAGCTTTAAGGGGAAATCTGGTCATTTGAGTAGGATGTTTTCCCCTGGCAGAGTTTGTTGAGCATTGGCATTTAACTCAAGCGTTTTCAGTTTCCGTTTTTGAAGTGAGGCAGAAAATGATGAACTATCTGTGACTTTTGCCAGAGCCGAATGATAAAGCACTAGAGTGACAACACCCACACAGGCCTCCATCAATCAGAGAGCGCGTTATTTACTAAATATCACCCGCATGTTGTACAAATGGCCTGATGAAAGGGTCATTTGTAAAAACGCAACAAGCAGAGCGTGTTAGAATTACGTCTTTTCCTCTCATTGTTCAGCTACAGTGCGAAAGTCATAACTGCTAAAGAGTCGTGTTTATCACACTATTTGTGCCGTCAGGAATTTTCTTGATAGTTCAAGGTGCTGATGCAACTGGCTCTAGATCAGCTTTCTATAGGGAGTGTTTTGGAAAACAGCTGCAGTGTAAATGTTCGGCAAAAATTGGGAAATATAATAATAAATGTTCTAAAGTATTTAGAAATATTATACAATATATTAAAGGGCACTTGATATTTAGTGGTGAGATCTAACATTAAGAGTAAGTAAATTTATCTTGTATTAAGGATGTCTTTTTCATCATTTACTCACTTCAAAATCGGTATTATTTGTGACCCGTGACGAAAAAAACAGTATTAAGTTGCATAGGACTGTTTCGGGTAATAGCCAAAAATGCACTGTATGGATTCAAATGTTAGATTTCCCTTTAATGCCAAAAATCATTGGATTGTTAATCAAAGATCATCTTTCATCAAGATTTTTTTATTTTGCTACTGTAAACAAATCTTAAATAAATTTTGCATAGCTAAGAACACAACTTAAACAACTTTAAAGGTTAGGGGCGATTTTATCATCATTTAGACTCCAAATTTACAAAGAATGCAGTATCTTTGGCAATAATGGTTCTATCCTACACTGTAAGAAATGTTGGGTTCCACACAATTGATTTCTGTTGGGGCAACATGAAGGAATTAAGTTAACTTATTAGTTGTTACAAATTTAAGTGGATTGAACATAAAGTTGTCCTGATAAAATCTCAAGAACTGTGTTGTTTCAGCTTATTTGAAATAAGTTTGAACAAGTAAAAAAAAAATATTTGTAACAAAGCATACATCAAATTAATTCAGCTTTCAGATGATGTGTAAATCCCAATTTCAAAATAATGCACACTTAAAACTGCTTTTGTGGTCCAAGGTCACATTTTGGTCTGTGATGGTGATACAAAACAGGAGATATTATTAAGAATCTGTTTTTTAACAGGTTCTAATATTCCTTTGTTCATGTACAGCTACTCATTCTGGCCGTTAACACCCCCACAATCACCAATAATCCCAATCTCAATGAAACGTATAACTTTTTATTAAAAATGAGTAATTAATTACTTTCCTTACAGTAAGATTTGTTTAAAAGTTCTCCATTTATTTACTGCTGATGATACTGACCTGACCTATACATTTTTTATTAAATTATTATTATTGTATTATTAAATGTGATAAATTATAATAATTTTTACATAGGGTAAGTGAAAATCTTTTCCAACTGGGATATTTGAAAAGAAAATCCTTGTATAAGTCAAAAATAGCATTCGTAATGGTTTTAAAAATGTCTTAGTCTTACATTTAACTTGGTGAAATCGGCAGAAACCCTGCTTATAATATAATTTTACAAGAAAACATACCCATAATTAAATCATTATCCTCTAATAATCTTGCCTGCAATGCAAAGTACTGAATTGTGTGAGTTATTCCAGCGCATTTCCTTTTGCACTCATAGCCCTTTTCTTTCTCTCACACCAACTGCAGAACGCAGTGCGGCATAACCTTAGTCTTCACAAGTGTTTTGTGCGGGTAGAGAACGTTAAAGGGGCGGTTTGGACCGTTGACGAGCTAGAGTTCCAAAAGAGAAGGCCGCAAAAGATCAGCGGGTAGGTTTTCCAGCGCACCAACCCAGTGTCTCGTGGTGTTGATGGATGGGCTCCATGTCATTGTCTTCTGTGCTGTGCCGCCCATTGACCCCCTGCTAGCTTAGCGTGCGTCTTTGTGCCCGTATGTGAGTTATGTGCTAGCTGTGTGCACCGTAACCCCCAGTCGCTTGTGCTTATCTATTCATTCATTTCATATCTTCTTCTCTATCACTGTCGGTCTGTCTTGCTACATCCCCATCTGGCTGCTTGCTGCCCCTCTTTCCCTTCCCAGGGTGCTGTGCGCACCAATCTGTCCCTGCATAAATGCTTTGTAAGAGTTGAGGATGACTTTGGGTCCTTTTGGACCGTAGACGACGAAGAGTTTAAACGCGGCCGTCACATACAGCGAGGGCGACCCAGGAAACATGTGGCTGACGAAAACTGCGACCAGCTGCTTGTACAGTAAGCTCCGCCCTCTGCCCCGCCCCTTCCTGCATGCTCCGCCTCTGTGTGCTTGCTCATCCCGCTTTTGTCTTATGTGATATTCATTATGAATGTGTATTGATTTGATGCTGAATAACACATATAAGCTCTGTTCCAAGTTACGCTCTGCGTATGCTGCTTCCTTCAAGTGTGCAGGCAGAAGTAAAAATCCCATTCATTTTGATTTTAGGGGAATTGATTTTTAATGGTAACTTATAAACTTTTAAAGACAGATCTCTGGTGAGCTATGAGGCTGTTAATCAGTGATGTGCTTTTGTCGAAGATGTCAGTCTGCATTAAAATATAACAGTTTATCAGTGGAATTCCTGGTTAATTGTTACATTTTGTAACACATTTCATTAAAAGAGTACTAATACATGGTTTTCAAATACTTTATCGGTTTAAATATGTTAGTTTGCATAAAATTTCACCTCATATCTGCTTATAGCTCCTTAACAAAGACGTTTACCATCAATATTCAGTATCATATAGTCTTTGAGCTTGTCAATAAACAAAAATGCCTTGTTTCAGTTTTGGACTACAGAATATTTTTGTCCAATTGTTTAGTTAACGTGTCAAACAAACAAGCACTGCTGACCATTAACAATTTCATTTAACCATAATTGTTTGTTTGCTGTTAACAGAAGAGCTCCGATTGGTCAATATCACTCCATAAAAGTTTTTTTTTTAATCTATTTTTACATCACGACACTTAATATTTGAATCCCTGCAACACCGCATGTCAAACAGAGTAAGCCAAAAAATCAGCCAAAGAAAGCTAGAATCAGACTAATACTGTGTAGTTTGAACACGGCATTAGATATCCTGGAATATCTTGGAACAGCCTTCGCTTTTGAAGTTGGCAGCCAGTCTTGGGACAGAGCTCTATTGTTAAAGAGCTTTTGATAGTTTATTGCTGTCTATTGATTTTGCGATTGAGTTTCATTGGAAATCAGATTGTCCTCTAAATACTGACTTCAGTGTAAAATCAATCTGTTCAGTAGAGCGGAGACAGCATGACTCGTTCCACTACTGAACTAAATCTGTATGTGTGTGTTTGTGTGTGTGTGTGTATATTTTTGTTTCCACAGTAGTCCAGCTCTGGTAAAGAACATCCATACCACTTTGGGATACGGTCCCGCTCTTTCTGCAGCTTTCCAGGTAGGATTACAATCTTGCACCATCCAGTCTTCATCCATATTATTTATATAGGTGTATAGTTTGGTTTATTTATCTATTCAGTGGCTCCCCTTACTCAATCATTGACTGCACAAGTATGTACTCATTTTGTGAACTGTTGATAAAGGAAAGCAGTAAAACATGCCAGAAAATAGAGCAAAGGCATAATTTTTTTGTGAAATATGAGGAAGACATATTGAAACATGGCTTTGGAAAATAATTTTATGAAACCCATATAATTATGTGTTCATTATGTTTTTCACATTAATCCTGACTAAATTCTGTATTTCCATTTAACGCCACATGAGCTTTACATGTTCAACCACATGTTAAAACCACGTGTGAAATATGTAGAGCTCATGTGAAATGCAGTTTTGGGGCCATTTCCTTTAAAAAATCCATCTGAGCCCATATTTCTGCTTTGGTTCATATGTGAGCCACGAAAACTTTCTAAAACCATATTTCACATGTGATTGTAACATGATTTGTGAAACTCGTATGGTTTGTCTTTAATGTTTTGACTCCTAAATAGAACCCAAGTGGCTTTAAAACCTAAAAAAATGTCTAAAAATGCTTATATTATTTATTTTGGACGAGCTCAAGTATCTGAAGACCACTGAATGGTCCTGATGTTTTGTTGGTTCATCTCCTCCATTCTTCTTTTAGGCTTCAATGGCAGAGAACATACCTCTATACACTACCGCTTCCATCGGAAGCCCCACTCTTAACTCGCTTGCCAGCGTCATCCGAGAGGAAATGAATGGGGCCATGGACCACGGGAACAGCAACGGTAGTGACAGCAGCCCTGGACGCTCGCCTCTGCCAGCTATGTGAGTGGCTCACGTCCCACCTTCGTAATGTGTGTGTGACTGAGATAAGGGCGCGAGGGACAGGGAGATGTTCAGGAATCATTAGGCTCCGGCACGCGCTTGTACGGCTTAGGTGGTGGACATTTTTCACCAGGTCACTAGGAGTTGAAAACAGCAGTAGGGTTCAATATACATTACAGTAGATGTTTAGCCAAGCGTGAAATTATATAGAAAACTGCAGTTTATGTAGGAAGTAGGACTTGCGAATGCAGTCTTAGAAAGGAAACCCCACCTTTGGCAGGTTTATACGCAGGGGGAGCTCGTAAAGAAAATAGTGTCTCTCCGTGTTATTTCGAGGAGAAGTTTATAAACTGGCTTTTATTACGGGTCAATAGTGTGTGGTGTACTACGGCGAGTTCCTCCCTAATTATTGCCTCCATTTTGTTTAAATATTTACGAAAGCGGTGAATAGAAGATGACAGAACTGGCCTCCTTTTTTCCACCCAGACAGGACTCGCAGCACGTCCGAAATCTCTCCGAGCCGTCGACAGTTAAACAGCAAAGGGAGGGAGGGGTGGGGGGTCGTAATTAGCCTCGGCGAAACCGCTCCAAGATTTCCATGTAGCTGAGCTGCGGTCGGGCTTGGAAACCACAGCTCCCCATACACTTGTTGTATGGGAGGGACCGCCGTGTTGTTTGAAGCTTAAAATAATACTGTGCAGACAACATGGTTTCCAGATGTTGGAGGACAGAACGCTGATTTGTTGCTCAGCGCGATTTATTGCACTTTCTGTAAAATATCAGCAAATCGTTTTTTTTGGAGTGAAAAAAAGGCGGCGTAATGAACTGGTGAAGATGTGGGTGAGAGAAACGCTAATGGCAGGTAACATAGCTGCAGGCCTGCCCCATCCGCAGGATACAGAGAGACAGGATGGGTGTGCTTGCTCTCAGGCGCTCTGCCTCTCACCTCTCCAGGCATTTGCCAACTTAACACACTCAAAAGCAAAGATGTTGCCCAAACACAAGCTGTACAAAGTGTGAGAATGTACGAGCATGCATAAAACATGACCGTAAAAAGCATTGAGGTTTACTAAGTTATCCACATTTATGGATCCTCTTATCAAGGGCATCGCATTTCATTTTTCGGTTAAAAAAACTTTTTCTCCAGTAAAACTTTTTATGGATTAGACAAGAAAAACTTGTCAAACCTGCTCGAGGAATAAGATTATTAATTTTCAAATTACCAATGCAACTGAAACATTCATTTATTCATTCATTCATTTTCTTTTCTGCTTAGTCTCTTTATTAATCTGGGGTCGCCACTGCGGAATGAACCGCCAACTTATCCAGCCCATGTTTTATACAGCGAATGCCCTGCAACTAAAACATCATATTGAATTTCCCAAACTTGTGCAAAGTTTGAAACTGAACCACCTCTTTTTACCTCATTCGCAGTGTACAAGCGGGTGCAGCCATTTGAATGTTTTTGGCTGGAGGCTTCCGGTCTCATTCACTTCCATTCATTTTAAGACTTTAAAAACAGCTTGTTTTGCTGTGTGATGTTGCGAACTGATATTTTCTTGTTATATTATTCTACTTTGTCTGTCTGTAGAGTAAGTAGTTTCACCGTTTATTGCCGTTTATTATTCCTAGTCATTTCTCCCATAGGCGACCGAATCGGAAGTTCTAAAACAATCGCAAAAACGAGCGCACTTTCGCATTAAAGAATGAGGTCAATAAAAAAAAAAGAAGAAAATGCATACACTGATTTACATAATTGATGCTTACGTTATCAAGGGCACAGTATCATGGGAATATTGTGTATTTTAGAACTACAAGTACCATTTGTGAAATAAATAGACCACTGTCTGTTCTTCCAACGATTTCTAGTACTGTACCAACTATTTCTTTTTTAAGTTAATTCTTCTAGTTCTGTGTGTAGTCTTACAGCTTATTTAGTTTGAGCAGACTAAAATAGCATGTATTCCAACTTGGGTTCAGTTGGATTTACCGGAACAATGAGCTGATTTACTTGTTAAAACTTAGCAGGCCAATGCCTTGTACAGACCAAAATAAATACTACAGTAAATTTAATGATCAAATCATCCAGCCAGCAATAGCACACGTGCACATACTAACATAACCAGCAGAGAAATCACCACCGAATCAACAACTGCATATAGTCTTAACCTTTGTAGATCAGAACTCAACCAAACCACACACTCTGTTCCTCAGCTCAATGCTGACCTCCCCAAAAATGCAGACGGAACAGAAACACTTCTAAAACCAGTCATAACAGTCATAACTAACAGGTCTCCCTCATATTATTCTTGTACATAAACACATAAAGCAACACCGCATTTCAATGTTTACTGAAGCAAAGCATTCTGGCAACAAGAAAATAGCTTGACAAAATGGTACTCATACAAATCAGTTCATTTTAAGCTAGTTCGTTTTTAGTGTGAAATCTTGAGTGTGACAATAGTACAGAATACAAGCTATATTACAGGTACAGATATTTCATTATGTCAACTAAAAACTATAAGTACATTGTTTAGGCTGCTAATTTAATAATAAAAACATGAGAAACATGTTATATTGTTTATTACTTAATTGAGGTATTTGACTTGATACCCTAAAAACAAATGATACATTATGATAGAAAATCTACATCAATGTAACATCAGTATATTTGAAAAAATGGCGATGTATAAATATTTCTTGGCCAGACATTTCTTTTGACCACTACTGTAATTGTGTGCAAAAGCTCAAATGTTCTGGTTTCATTTTATCAGCTATTTTGAACTGTGTAATTAAACGTCATCTATTAAAATGATTACATACAGTAGTGTCGTCATCTATATAATTATATCCATCTAGGTAAACCTGTCCTTTCATTATGAGGTAAACACACAATCACATCATCATAATAGAACCAATATATATGAGCCTTATTTTGAATCTTATATTTCCAAAGCCTAATTAATAAGTTCTGCTAAATAGATGTCCTCCTCGCGTCTGCTGCACCTGTTTGTATTGTTCCAGATGCCTGAAATCAGACGCTTCACTGTTAATTACAATGAAGGCGAAAGCAGAGTGCAGCTCAGTTGCATATTAATAACAATTTCATGTTTGCCCTCCAGCTAGAGATTGAGAACCGCAGGCCATGGGATACGCGGAGACGCTTTGATCTAAAACCGATAGAATAGCTGGGGTTTTCTTATTATTCCCGTACAAATATGATAACTCATTAGCATGGCTGCTTTCTTAACGGAGCTGAAGATATCGTGGCTAATTACATTCACCAAACATGTCTTAGCGAAAACCTATAGTTTGCCATGTGAGACTAATTATCTTAAAGTCTCTGCCACAGCCGCTTCTAATGTTTATCCTTTTATTCGTCCGGCTTCCTTTTTTCGGTCTTCATCCCCGGTACAGGCAGCGCTCGCTCCGTTCCCGCAGTGTTTCTGTAATGAGAAATTTGGCAGATCTCATCTCTGTGGACAATCCTTTGCCCAGACTGTGGGCTGGGGTTCATGTTTTGCCTTGTTTACAACTGACAGCGTTATTATTCTTGTAAGGGCTCTGTTTCTTATCACAGCCGTTTGTGTTGGGCCCGGTCGTCAGCGCCTCCCCCCTCCGCCTCTCTTTTTCTTCCCCTTATTGACACTTTGGTTAGAAGTTGCATTAATTTTGAGTGTATTTAAAGCGTGCGCCGCGCTGTCTGGTCACCGTGTTTTTTTGGCGTGCTTGAAGTTGATTAATGACGGAACCTTGCGCGGGGTCGTCCTCCAGAGACCCGCCTCACAGGTTGTGCATGTTAACGAGCGGGAAGAGGAGCGCGCGCGCCGCTGATCCGCCGCCGCCACCGGGGATCTGACAGGCCCGTCCGCGCGCTCCCGCCTCCGCGCGCCGCAGTCCATTCTCTCGTCGCCACGTCGCGCGTTGTTAATCTCCCTCATTCATCAATTGAGAGTGAAAAGCCTGTTGTCGAGCCAGCTGTGGAAAGTAAAGGCGGCAGGTAACTTCTCCTGGTGCTGGAGAAGCTGAAAGGGAAGTGCAGTTTATCAGGAGCTGCTGTGACTCTGTTAGTCTTCCGTTATAAACAACTGCTTGTTAAGCTGGTCGTGTTTATATTTAGATGTTTAGCCAGCAGACAGCAGTAATGCACTGATACAATATTCATATGTTGTTTAATTGCCTGTCTACATTTTTGTTTTCTCTATTAGTTTAGAGCAAGGATGCCCAAACTTTTTTCTTATGAAGGGCCAAAAATAAAACTTCATTGAGGATTGTGGAGCAAACATAATTATTTCAAGCTGTATTACAAGTTGCCATGGATAATTTCCTTATTTATTTCAAAATAGATATAAAATATTACTTAATATTAACTAATGCATTACATATATTTTACATTTTATAATGAACCTAATGAAATGAAAACATAAGAAGTTTAATGCTGAATACACTAGTCAAGCTGCACCAGTCTTTGCCTTGATTTGCTCATTGAGGACTTTTGTATTGTGGTCTATCCAATGAGCAGTGTGTTCTTTTTAAAAATAAAATCAGATTTATTTAAAACATTTAATTGAAAAATTAAATTCAAGTTTGTCCTTTGTAGCTCAAAAATAATACTAAGAAATGAATGGTTGCATTAAATTAGAAAATACTGTATTAAAGATGTTACCATGGGCTAACTTTGGCCATCTCTGGTTTTAAAGCTATTATTAGAGAATGCATTCAAATTGAGCAGTAGCATTCTGTCAGTATTTATTAGGCTACTGTTTGTCAGCATTAGTCAATAAGAATGCAGTTTTTAATTGTTACTTCATATCAGCAGGTCTTCCACCTAATAATAACCCACATTAATATCATTGAGATACTATCAGGGTTTTTAATTAGTGTAATGAGTTTTTTTCTGAATATGTCTGCATCATTTTTCTTAAAACATACTTGCTATATTAGTTCAAATATTTTATTATGGTATTTATTATTTGAGTTCTTATCAAATTTATTAGTTGAATAAAATAAAAATGAGAAGTATTTTCTTTTCAACTGGCTAAAAATAATATATTTATAACCAATAAGTACCCTGATTTTAACAGGTGTAACTTGGATTTCATTGAGGTGTTAGTAAATGTTTAAATTAACTAAAACAAATCCATGCATTAAGGATTTATACTTCTTATTTTGGTACAATTGCTAGCTGGCAGTTAGGTTTATGTTCCTCTGTATCGAGTTTCTTTGCTGGTGTTTTGTTTTTTTCTGAACGCTACCGTAATTTAGAAGTAGCAAAAACTAGCTCGTTTAGAGGCTGGAACTGGTGGACGTGCAACAACTTTAATCATAAGGTAAACACAAAACAAACTTTCCATCTGGAGCTCCTTCATGAGACTCCACACTTGTAAACACTCGCACACGGCTCTCGGTCCCACCCACATTCATGAGCGCTACAAAGCTGACCAATCACAGAGCTTGTGCTATGCGTAGTTGCGACGTTTAGTTATATTTTTTGAGAGGTGCGTGTCAACAACAGCCACAACGAGGGTTATGCGACCACGCGCAGGGTGTGATAGAGCCATATGCGTGCTCTTGACGTAGATGTCTACATCAGCCTTTAGAAGCGCTTAACTAATCAATAAAAAAATTATAAAAAACACAAACAATTTTTTTGGGAAATAAATATTACCATAGTATGTTTTACTGAACAATAATTGTAAATTTAATTTAATCTTACTTTTCATTTCTGACTGAAAATTGTTTCTGTGCCTTTTTTATGGCAACTAGAAAATAGCCAGCACATCGATTGATAAAAATTTAAAATATAAATAAAAAGAAAGTGTTTTTTTATTTATTTAAGAGAGAGAATAGAGAAGAGAGAAGCTTTTAACATTCAAGTACATTAAAGTTCTGATTTTTCCCCAGGCATCATATCAGCGTAAAAGAGGAGCCAATGGACCCAGAGGAGCACGAAGGCCCCCTTTCCCTTGTGACAACAGCCAATCACAGTCCAGACTTTGACCACCACAGAGATTACGAGGATGACCACGGCACCGAGGACATGCTGTAAGCCTGGTTTCTCCCAGGTCCTCTGCCGAAGAGGCAATACTGACTGCGAGACCACTCCACATATAGCAAGCCCAAGACTGGATTCACAATCCTCTTGTTGACAGCTACTAAAAATGTTCTGATTTACTCTTAGTGCCATTAAATATGAAACCAGAATACGAGATAAGAAAATCTATTCCATTTGGAAGTATTTTTGATTTGTTTCTACTTTCGGTTAAAAGACGAGATGCGTACATTTCTACTCATCGCCTGATGAAGAGACGTTTGGTACTGGGTCCTGCTTCAACTTCCTTTTGGCATAAGTGAGACCAGAGGGGACATGAAAACACAGCTGAGAAAGACTCAATGCCCTCTGAGTTCAATAAACACTGATCACAAACTCTTTCACACACACACACACAGATCATAAGCGCTTGGATGAGCGTGCCACTCACAGTGTGCGTGTACGTATGTGACTTTAATTCATTGTCTCTGCCTTCAGATACTCTTGAAGAGATGATGCACCCAAAAATGTGATTCTGTCATCATGTTGTTCTGGACCACTTGAGATTTTTTAAACCCAGATTACTCTCGTTCTTTTGCGAAACACAAAATGATTCATTTTGAGGTGTATATTCAATTGATTTTTTAAATATAATCAACATACTGAAATTCCAGTGGATCAGTTCACACATCAGACTGATTCTCAGTTTCAATCAAGTTTATAATTTGAGTGAATTTCTGCTTGTATTTTGTTTTGTCTCTTATCTACATAAACCAGCGGTCCCCAACCTTTTTATCACCGCGGGGAGTCTTAGGTGGGAGATTTTAGATGGGTTCTATGTAGATTGCTAACAGTTTTCTGAGAAGCTGGTGAGCTGACAAAACATTGCTTATTTATAGACAAAATAAAAAAGCCCTGCTGGGGGTTCTGTGTTTGTCTGAAGTAATTAGTCTACTGAAATCTGTATATTCTATACAAGGTGAAGCTGATCGGTCAGTTCCTTGTCACGTGACTCGCAGTACACTTGCAGGATTGCTTGTGCACGTTGTTTCCAGTATGAGTGACCCTCCATTGGAAATAACGAACTTGCACACGGAATAAGTGTGGCATGTGAACGGCCCCTAAATTAACTGTCGTTTGCGATCTCCAGCTGTTGATCTTCTTCGCAGACAAGCTGGATTCACCTCATTTGTTGACAATTGGGTTGCAGATCCAGTCCTTAGCAGTTCGTTGGTTCATCTCTGGACCTTTTCCTCTTAGCAAAGAAACTTTCCAAAGACGTCTGTTTTTGCTAACATGTAGGTTAAATTTGGGCGCTCAAGTGACTGAGATTTAACAGAGACAATATGGTCATTTTTCAAAATAAAAGCTCATTGAGACTCAGATAATTAATAAAACTGAAATAATTAATGAGTTTTTGTGCGGCCCGGTGTCCAATTGATCCACGGACCGGTACTGGGGGGTTCGGGACCACTGGTATGTACTATAAAATGTTAAAGTTATTAATGCTATAAAATATGAATTGTTTTAACAGTATGCTAACTGACTTTGTCACTCATTTTACAAAAAAAACCAAACCAAATCATGCATTGACAGTCTAAACTTTTATCATCATGCATGTAAAAATGAATAAGCCCGCGGACATTAAAGCCTCCTGTTTATTAACTTAATGGATCAGCTGTTTTGAACGAACCATTTGAATCAATGATTCAGTGAATCGCTTATTAAAACAGGGGATTGCCACCACCTACTTGTAGTTTGAATGTCGTATTTATTTAACCATACAACGCTGAAGCCAAATATAATTTAATTCACTTTTATTTTAAATCACACGACCATGTTTTGTGTCTTTTATGAAGTATGAACGCTTCACTTTGCATTAAATTAAACCGTATTAAAAGAGCAGCAGGTACAATCCTCAAAATATCTCATTTTGTGTTTTCATGGATAAAAAAAGGCAGGGATAAATGACAGAATGTTCATTTGTCAAGTGCACTATTTCTTTAGGTTTTCTGTCGTGGCAGCTGGAGAATATCTGTCCAGTGTTTTGAGGGTTCCTAGGCGAATAATTGAAACGTAGTGTCCTCTCATTACTCTGTGCTGTTAGCTATATATCCTTTTATTTTGTTGTTGTTGTTGTTGTTGGGTTTGTTTGTTTTGGTAACTGATCAGACCTCATGAATAATGATGTGGAGTTATGGTGTGCTCAGCACTGGATGAATGTTTAGGCTTCTCATGCTCTCTCTTTTGTTTTTCCCCCTCTTCCTTTCCAAACTCAAGCAGAATGTCGCATTACCGTCTAGTATTTTTCTGTCATTTGTTCCTAGCGTTTCACGTTGCAGTCACATTGCCCTTGCATACGACACACACACACACACTCGTGCTCTTTCCCGCTCATGAAGTCCATCTGCAAATGCACTACTCGTAATGAAGGCTCCCTCTCCACGCACCAATGAAGTTTAATTTCCACGTGGAATGAATGACAGAGAAATCAGCGCAGGTTAACGTTTATCGTTCTGAAATGATACTCTCAAAAAAAAAAAAATCCCCTTTGGAGGTGATGCATGTCAGCGTCAACCAAATCACCGATCGAAACCCTCTGCAAACATGAAATGTCAAGAAAATATCACCAAGGAAGCTAATTGTGATTCCTGAACGGCATGTATGACTTTAGTTTTGTCTTTTGATTGAGTTCTGTAATGTCTGGATGACTTTAAACTGCATTCCCCCACATCAGTGACATGATAATAATTACACACCGGAGAAATGTTAAAGGGATTACAAGCCGACGTCTATGACCACTGAGCATTACGGCACTGGGGCAGCCCACTATGACCATTCTTGCCACATGATTGTCGAACCACGGCTCTAAATTGAAAGCTGCTGTCGCCCGCTAGATTAGATTCAAAGACCAGACCAATCCTTTTGTTTTGTTTTGAATGACTTTAAGCAACCACTTTGTGTTCTTATTTATTACTTCCATTTTTATTGTCATTTGCTTTCGCCTGTGTTTATGTTTTATCTGTGACTACCAAAGATACTACAAGACGAGATATATTCTATGTTCCATGCAATAGCTGAACGAAAGGCCAAATATCCTTTTAGCGCTCCCCAATGCAAACGTCTGGCGAAGAAAAGAAAAAAAAGAAGAAAAAAGCCAAAGGGGCTGTTGGATGGGCAGCTGTATGTCTTTGCCTGTGACCAAAATAGTAGAGGAGAGGCAGAGATGGAGACCAACACACGACCAAATCAAAGCAATGTTGTCTTCGGGCCAACCAAAAGGGAAAAAAGGGAGTGTTCTATCAGGAAATGATGGCTATAACGGAGAAGGATACGGATGAAAGAGTTTTAAAACTGTGTTCGCTGTCGTCACAGGAAATTGAAGTCCAGGAGGGGGAAAACATTTGCATAACACAATGTGAACTGAACTTCAAACTGGACCACACAATGATGAGCATTTCGTTTGTTCTCATAATTTAGCTTCTTTTTTTTTGGTCATTTTATTCTTTGAAACGATTGTATGCCACTTGTAAATTCGAAAAACGGGATGTCCTTTTGTTAACCTTGCCAATGCTCTATGATTGTGTTTTAGTGTCTGTCAACTTATTACTTTTTTATATTAAAAAACACTCCTGTCAACCAATGAGCTGGGTACAAGGTACTTTAATGGCAGTTACTACTATTTGTAAATCGATTCAAGCATTTCTTACTGATTCACTAGAACGAACGGAGCCTCCGAGTGATGCTTCTGTTATATATGGAGAGGGATGACGAGAGCGTTCGCCGCATGTGTAGCTCGGCATTACTGAAGAAATACAGCATGATTAGTCTGCATACCTCAGTTCAAACCTATAGGGAATGACTAGAAAAAAAGATGTACAATTTCACTCAGTTGCACTTAGTCGTATGTCCTGCATGTTTAGTCTAAAACTGTAGCAAACTATTTTAAGAGAGACAATTCTATTCAAATCAGAGCTTGTTTATCATCAGGATCTCCCCTTTTTATTGTTTTAAAGCAATCCAAACCTCAGGCTTTTTCTGTTACATAGCTAAGAAAGGCTTCTTCTTCCATTTATTTTGCTTCTCACATGCGGTAAACTGTTTGCTGTCTCTGTTCTTGTACATACACCACATTTATAGCTTGTGTGTCCTCTCATTTTCTCTTTTCAGAGAAGGGAAAGTAATGTTTGTATCACCATGTTTGCTTTATCACAACTGCTTTGTATTTACTATTAAAACAAGTGGGAAAAACACAGAAAAACGAGCTACTGCTGTATGTATTTCAATATAGCCAAACTGCTGCAGATGTCATTGACTTCATAATCCTTGCTCTTTTTTTCTGGAGCAAAAGGGGGAAAAAAGGAAAGTTGCAGACATCTGTGAGCAAGAGGGGAGGGAATGGATCCGGGGATAATCCTCCGTTTTTGGATTCTTAAAACTGTAGAATAGAAAACAGATTTGTCTGTGTTATCATTGACCGGAGCGGTTTGTACGCTCTTTCTCTTCTTTGCTGGTGTTAAGCTGTTTTTAATGTGCTCAGAAAGATCCTGTTTTTCTGCTCTAGATTAGCTGTAAAAGCAGGTGTTTGTTCTCTACAGCACAACGGGAGAAAAAAAAAACGTTTTCTTAATCGCTGTTATTCTTGTTTTCCAGTAAAATGGTTTAAAAACGCAATTCTGCTTTTAAGTCAAATTATTTTAAGGATTTAAATACAAAAACACTGCATTTTCATCATTTCAACCATATGGGATACAAAATATTGATTTCAATACACAAAAGCAAAATAATAAAAAAAGATATGGCTCTTTAAATGTCAGTATGTTTAGGCTGTGTCTGTTAATGTGCATATCTCTTATTTTTATTTTATTTTCAGTCTATAATCCCCCTTACTGTATTTCTGTTCTGTCCTTCAATGTAAAACCTTTAATTTCTCACTTTGCTGATTATTGTTACAGTCAGTGTCTATAAACTGAGGATGAGCTATAGATCATGATCATAACACTGATTTATAAAACCATAAAATGAAGAAATATGAAAAGGAAAAGTTTATTTATTAGGTAATGCATTTTTGTTAACTGCTCATACAACAACATATGCATATTTCACACTTTAAAATTGTAAATAATTTTACAAAATACTAGTTTTTTTTCCGTTTTGTAAGGCTTAAAGTGTTAATAAAGCACTGGCCACTGCTATAGGACACACTAGAAAGATTTCAATACACAAACGGAAAAACAGAAAATAAAATAGCTCTAGAAGTGTTTTAGGCTGTGTCTGTAAATCTGCACATCTCTTATTTTTGTTTCTTTTGTTTCTTTTCCATCTATAACCCCCACCTATTTCTGTTCTGTCCTTCAATGTAAAACCTTTAATTTCTCACCTTGCTGATTATTGTTACAGTCAGTGTTTAAATACTGAGGATGAGCTATAGATCATGATCATAACACTGACTTATAAAACCATAAAATAAAGAAATATGCAGAGGAGAATGAAATGTATCAAGTTTTTTTGAGATAAAAGTTTGTATATAAAAATAAGATATATTTTGTTGTTTTAACATTTTTTAAAATGCAAATAATTTGACAAAACACTTATTTATTTCGTTTTTTTCTACAGTTATTAATAGTTTATAAATCTCTGACCACTGCTGTTTCAATACACAAAAGTAAAAGTAGACTATAAATGCTCTTTAAAATGTCTGTACAGTCAGTTATGATAATAATACTGATATATAAGACCATAAAATAAAGAGGAAAGCTACAGAATGTATCAGGTTTCTTAATGAGATAATACAAGTTTGTAATTAAAATGTATTAACTATTCATACAACATACAGTATGTATGTTGTTCACATTTTTGTTAACAACTATATATATATATATATATATATATATATATATATATATATATATATATATATATATATATATAGTTTATAAACCACTGATCACACAAAGATTTCAATACACAAAAGTAAAAAACAGACACTAAAAGGGTTCTTTGCGTCTGTGTGTTTAGGCTGTGTGTAAATCTGCACATCTCTTATTTTTATTCTTCTCTGGTTCCCACTTTTTTCTGTTCTGTCCTTTAATGTAAAGCCTTTAATTTCTCACTTTGCTGATTATTGTTACCGCCAGTGGCTAAAAACTGAGAATGAGCTATAGATCATGATCATAACACTGACTTATAAAACCATAAAATAAAGAAATATGCAGAGGAGAATGAAATGTATCAAGTTTTTTTGAGATAAAATTTGTATATAAAAATAAGATATATTTTGTTGTTTTAACATTTTTTAAAATGCAAATAATTTGACAAAACACTTATTTATTTCGTTTTTTTCTACAGTTATTAATAGTTTATAAATCTCTGACCACTGCTGTTTCAATACACAAAAGTAAAAGTAGACTATAAATGCTCTTTAAAATGTCTGTACAGTCAGTTATGATAATAATACTGATATATAAGACCATAAAATAAAGAGGAAAGCTACAGAATGTATCAGGTTTCTTAATGAGATAATACAAGTTTGTAATTAAAATGTATTAACTATTCATACAACATACAGTATGTATGTTGTTCACATTTTTGTTAACAACTATATATATATATATATATATATATATATATATATATATATATATATATATATATATATATATAGTTTATAAACCACTGATCACACAAAGATTTCAATACACACAAGTAAAAAACAGACACTAAAAGGGTTCTTTGCGTCTGTGTGTTTAGGCTGTGTGTAAATCTGCACATCTCTTATTTTTATTCTTCTCTGGTTCCCACTTTTTTCTGTTCTGTCCTTTAATGTAAAGCCTTTAATTTCTCCCTTTGCTGATTATTGTTACCGCCAGTGTTTAAAAACTGAGAATGAGCTATAGATCATGATCATAACACTGATTTATAAACCCATAAAATAAAGAAATATAATGAGGAAAATATACACAATTTATTGAGTTTAATTAATGAGATATTTTACAAAGCCTTTACTATTTATCCATACGACATGTATAAAGTGTTCACATTTTTAGAATGATAATAATTTTACTAAATATCTTTACATTTTTCAGGCATGACAATATATGATTCCATGAAGGATACACAAGGAGGATTTCAAAACACACACACACACAATTGTCTTTGCTCTAAGAAAAACAAAAAAGATTCCTTAAATGTCTCTGTATTTGCACATTGCTCTTCTTTTTAATCTATAATTCCCTTTTTTACTGATCTAAAACCCTTACTTTCGCACGTTGATTATTGTGTTACAGTCGTTGTCTAAAACAGACTCACACGTTCAGAATAGATGCAATAAAAATGCCTCTTTTTTCCGTCTTTCATCACCTGCGCAGCTTCACATGGTTACAGTATAATAAAAGCTAATAGTGTTTCATATATGCACATGTGACGTGCCGAGATAAGGCTGAAATCAGGCACAAGTGATCAGCACAACATCAGATATTTGCACTGTTTGTTATGGAGCGCTGAAGTCCACTGTCTCTGCGGCTCGCACATTAAATTACCTTCTAATTAAAAAGAGACAGTTAAACTGTCCTTTACCAACAGCAATTTAGGTAACTGCATTTGACCAGCTATAAATTGTTAGTGCATTAAAATCCCAGAAATATTAGCGATATGGATTGGCTGATGGAAATGAATGCCGCTGATGAGGAGTTTGCTTTTTATGGGGGATGCGGGGGGTCATGTTCTCCACTAAACAGCAGACAGAGATCAGGACTAAGCAGTTTTAATCTTGTGAAACAAGCAATTACAAATAGTTGCATTGATTTGTTAAAAAGCTTTAGGTGACATAAATTGTTTCCCGCTTAGCTTATTGCTCCCATTCATAAATGTCATCGGGCATATTATTAATTAAAGATGCTGGAAGACAAGATTTAAAGGAAACAATATAAAATGATGGTTTGAGTTTTTTTGCTGCTAATATTTCATGAGTTATTTGGAGCCTGCTCATTTTATTGCTGTTGTCGCTGTGCTATTACCAGCTTCTCTCCTCATGGCATAAGATGGAACAGTTTCTGGTTCATTCATTCATTTTCTTTTCGGCTTAGTCCCTTTACTAATCTGGGGTCGCCACAGCGGAATGAACCGCCAACTTATCCAGCATATGTTTTACGAAGCGAATGCCCTTCCAGCTGCAACCCATCACTGGGAAACATCCACACACACTCATTCACACCCATAAACTATAATTTAGCTCACCTAATTCATCTATACCACATCTTTGGAGGTGAAACAAGGGCACCCGGAGGAAACCCACACTAACACGAGGAGAGCATGCAAACTCCACACAGAAATGCCAACTGACCCAGCCGAGGCTCGAACCAGTGACCATTTTGCTGTAAGGCGATCGTGCTACTCACTGCGTTACCATGACGCCTGTTTCTGTTTCAAACCCTTCAAAAAAAAGGACTTTTTATGGATCTGCCTGAATGTTAGGAATAAAAAGACTTGCATCCATTTACATTTGCAGTATTGTCACTTTACACTGCAAAAAATGCTTTTCTTACTTAGATTTTTTGTCGTGTTTGTAGTCCAAATATCTAAAAGTTCTTAAATCAAGAAGCATTTTCTAGACAAGCAAAACATATTGTCTTGTTTTAAGTGTTTTTCCTTAAAGCAAGTAAAATAATCTGCCAATGAGGTAAGCAAAATAATCATCACAAATTGAAAAACAAGATTATTTTTCTCACCCCATTGGCAGATTAGTTTGCTTGATTGAAAACTTGAAAACTGCGTATGATGCTAAATGGGAAAATAAACAAAGATTATTATTATATTTTTTTTAATGTTAAGGACTCAGTTTTGTGTTTGGGAAAGAAATGTAAGAAATGAACTGGTCAGAACCAAATAAGTTGTTTCTTATAATGGTATCAATATTACAGAAAAAAAGAATGGATAAACAAAAAAAAAGCATTTAAAGTATTCAAATGATATCAAAATACTCTCTGATGAAACAATATATATTTTTTACCATACATTCTCATTTTTACTATTATGTTAAAGGCTTGAAATGAAACACAAACATGTGGCATTCAGCATTAGCATGTCTCTTGCAAAGCACCAATACCTTTTAATCCTAATTTTTTTTTTTAAATATGTCTGCAAATAAAAAGTGTCCCGTCTCTATCATGTCATTCACACCAGTCTGCTTGTGTTACCAAGTGAGAGTCTCCAGCCCTTATTACCGAGTCCACGGTCTGCGTAGGCTTTGGAAATGAA